AAGGCCCTGTGGCTGGATACGGAGGCTGGCGAGAGGAGGTTTTTTTTTTTTTTTGTGTGGCTGGAGGAGGCCTCAGGCCAGGGCAAGAGCTTCGGGTTTCCTCTGAAAGGGACGGGAACCACAGGGCTGTCTGAGCAGGGAGTGGGCCAGCCTGGCCATGTGTTTTTTTTTTTTTTCTGGCTGCCCAGTGGAGAATAAGCCGAGGGGCGAGGTAGAAGTGGGGTTTTTTTTTTTTTAAGCGTGTTCATGCAGGGGAGAGATGCTGGTGCGCAGAGTGAGTGGCCTTTTTTTTTTTTTAAGGGGCTGGGCCCTGCCCCCCATCTCGGGTGGAGCTGCTGGATTTGCTGCTGGATTGCATGGAGAGGGAGGGAGGGTCCGGGATGGCTTCAGGCTCTGTGCAGAGACCTTTTTTTTTTTTTTGTGGAGCTGTGTGGAGGAACCACAGGAAGTGCACTGGTAAATAAGTATTTTTTTTTTTTTGGGAAGGTTTCCATGAAGGGCGTCAGCAGCCCTCTGATGCATTGCTCCTTTTTTTTTTTTTGAGGTGTCCCTGGGTGAGAAAGAGCCTGGGAATGGGAGTGGGGGTGCCTTTTTTTTTTTTTGTGGCTGAGAGGAACCTGGCTGATGTCAGGACCCGTGTGGCTGGAACATTTTTTTTTTTTTGCTCTTGTGTGCAGAGATGGGATGAGGGGAGAGTGTGCCGGGCCTGGGTTTTTTTTTTTTTCTTGAGTTTTGTTTTGTTTGACGGGGCTCGATCACATGGTGCTGGGCATTTTTTTTTTTTTGTCATCTCTTCATCAGTGAGCACCTACTGTACCCACCTGTGCCCTTGTTTTTTTTTTTTTTCTCTCCCCACTTTGTACAGCCTCAGGGCTAGGGAAGGAGGCCGCACAGGAGGCGCCTCCCCAAACAGTGGCATCACCTGGAACCCAGGAGCAACCCAGTGTCCAGGGGTTTTTTTTTTTTTTTAACCCCCATTGTCCTTCTTCTGCTGCTCAGACCCTCCAAGCTCCTCCTTTTTTTTTTTTTGAGGTGAGGCCGGCAGGCTCAGGCCACTCCACCCTCATGGATGGCCTCGTATCCCATCAGATCACAGGAGGGAACCGTGGCCAGAGTAGCCCGGGACGATCACCACCCGGGACCCCATAGGCCCCTCTCCCCTCCAGGCCACCTCCTCCCGTGTTTCCCACCTGCACCCATTTTTTTTTTTTTCCCACCCCGTCTTTTTCTCCAGAGGCCTCACTGAGCTTCACTTGTCCCTTTTTTTTTTTTTTAAGCCCATGCATTTCTATTGTCTGAACCCAGTCGGCCTCCACCCCAGTTTTTTTTTTTTTTCGTCCACACACTGACGACGATGGGAGTGGGGCACGGCAGGTGCCACCAAGAAGACCACAGAGCAAGTGCCACGGGCACACAGGGGCCACCCCCAGGTTGGTCGAGGCTTTTTTTTTTTTTTTGGAAACTGCAGTGGAACTGCATCAGGTTGAGGAAGAAAGATGTCAGGTTTTTTTTTTTTTAGAAACGGCGGGCAGCAGCACAAGCTTCTCTGCTCAGGGAGCAAGGCATTTTTTTTTTTTTGGGTCCGTGCTAGGCAGAGGCGCTGAGATGACCAGTGACTAATGACCAAGGCAGGACCCCTGGCCCGAGGGAGCTCACAGCCCCATGGGGGGACCCGGCCCTCCTGCCATTTTTTTTTTTTTAGGTACCCAGCGGCTCGGGGGCAGCAGAGGGTAAGCACTGGATTTCTTTTTTTTTTTTTTTAACAATGTGCACGGAAAGCAGGTGTGAGCCTGGGGTTCTGGAGCATATTTTTTTTTTTTTTAGAAAGACCAGCTGAAAATGGGAAAGGGATCTCAGGGAGAGAAAATGATTTTTTTTTTTTTCCAGGAATCCCTCCATGGTTTTATTGAGCAGTTACTGCAAGCCCCGCATTTTTTTTTTTTTTTCAGACATGACCTCTGAAGATGCCATCGTGCTTCTTCTCCAGACGAGTTTTTTTTTTTTTAGAGAGGACCAGGGGCTTGCCTGAGGTCACACAGAACATGATCCACTCTGCTCTCTGCCCCCACATGGCAGGGCAGGGGCTAGGGGAGGCAGGGGGAGATGCCTAGGGCTTTTTTTTTTTTTGATACTCACCCCCAGGGCCTTTGAGTGGATGCAGTGCCTCAGGGGCCCTTTTTTTTTTTTTCTGGAGTGTGGGGCAGAGGGGAGCTCCCGTGTATGAGGCAGAAGCAGCAGGCTGACTGGGACCCATTGAGAAGTTGCTGGTCAGCTACAGGTAGGAGCCTAAACCTTGATCCTGGATCCTGTGGGCACTGGGGAGCCAAGGAGGGCTTTAAGCAGAAGGAGGAGCTGTCGTTTTTTTTTTTTTCTGGAAAGGAAGGCGGGCACCCGCTCTCAGGCTTCACCTCCCGTTTCCTTTGATTCACAGGTCCGTCACAGCCACCCCATGCCGTGGTTGGGCTCCCCAGGTCCCCTCCTTTTTTTTTTTTTCCAGGGGTGGGGGTGGGGAGGGCTTTTTGTGCCCACAACACCGTGCAATTTTTTTTTTTTTGGAGGATGTGGTTGTCATGGAACCAGCTCGAGCCATGAGCGCCCTAATTTTTTTTTTTTTTTAAAAAGAAATAGGATGGAGATTTTGGCTGATTGAGAGCTCTCCAACTTTTTTTTTTTTTTGGCGTGGGGGAGTGGGTGGAGATGGGACTGGGCCCATCACAAGTGACCTTTTTTTTTTTTTACGTTTCTTTAAACCCATGGCAGGAATAATTACTGTGAAACGTCCTTATTTTTTTTTTTTTTTAGAGGGGAGACCCCTTATCTCTTGCTAACGCTTTGAAGGAGGTGCATTTTTTTTTTTTTGTGTGTGTGTGCACGCGTGTTCACGTGTGCACTCGGGGCCACAGATTGTTTTTTTTTTTTTGATTCCACTATCTTTTGGAAAAAAATCTATTGTATCAAAAATTTCCTATTTTTTTTTTTTTAGAAAAAGAGGAACTTTTAGGAATGGGTTTTCAGGCGTATCAATATCCTTTTTTTTTTTTTTCCCCCTGTGAAATGCAAAAAAATCTTTTGCATTTCTGTTCCTTGTGTCCTTAAAAACCCTCAGAAATGCCCGAGTACAGCCAGCAGTGGGGTGACAAGGGCCAGTGTCGTTTGGCTTTCTGTTTCCACCTATCGATTCGATTGTCCCCTCAGTGTTTGATCTTTGCGTTTTTTTTTTTTTTTGCTGGTAGGAGGCTCAGCCATTTGCTCTGCCCTGTGACACCCAGCGCCTTTTTTTTTTTTTATTCTGGCTGCATCCACCTGCAAGTCATGCTGGGAACCTAGACCAGCCCTGCAGGTTTGGGGGAGTCTGATCTGAGAGACCCCTGAGCGGGCGAGGGGGTACTAAGGCCTTTTTTTTTTTTTGCCTGCAAGAGGCCGCCCTGGCTTGGTTTTGAACTCACCTCCGCCTCACCCCCAAGCGGCAGAAAGCCTAGTTAAGGCCAGACAGGGTTCCCGCCACTCACCTGGGCAGGTGCTGGGGGCCACCAGGTCCCGCTGAGATTCTGTTCCTTGTTTCCATCTCTTTAGCCACCAGGGGTCCCTCTTCTCTCAAGCCCTCTCCCTGCTTTTCCCAAATATGAGGTCTCTACCCAATTTTTTTTTTTTTGCAGCACAACATCACCCCTTTAAGGAATCAAGCGTTCAGAGTGATTTTTTTTTTTTTTTTTATCAGAGAGAAAAGGGAACTGTGGTTGATCCTTCTTTGGCTTAACAAATTTTTTTTTTTTTTATATATATATATATATATCTTTCTGCAGAAACAACAATGCCAATGTATTTTTTTTTTTTTGGGCACAAAACATTATCGTGTGAGATGACCAATTAGAACTCAGAGGTTTTTTTTTTTTTTTGTGACTCCCAGGGAGATTTTACTACCCCTGCCCTACCCGTCCTCCTCCTTTTTTTTTTTTTGCTTGGAGGGAGAGGAGGGAAGGAGGGAAGGAGGGAGAGAGAGAAGGATTTTTTTTTTTTTGGAGGGAGGAAGGGAGGTGGGGAAGTCGGTAGGGCTGCAGCACTCATCTTTTTTTTTTTTTCTTCTGTACAGGATCTTTGCTGCCTACGGCCCTGCCTGTACCCAGGGTTTTTTTTTTTTTTGCTGCAGCCCCCTCCTCCCGCCCCTTCCTGGAAAGTGCCCTTGACTCCTATTGTAGGGAGGAGCAAGGCCAGGGCTCAGGGAGGTGAAGGCAGTCAAGGCCACACGAGGTTTTTTTTTTTTTAGACCCCGGCAGCCTGTTCCCTCCCAGCTCCCCCTGCGAGCAGCCTCATTTTTTTTTTTTTTGGTGCTGGTTTTCTTTCTGGTCCTTCCTTCAACATGCCCTTGTGGAATTTTTTTTTTTTTGGCCACTGAGAAGGGCATCCCTTTGAACGGTGGAGGGAGACTGAGGTCTTTTTTTTTTTTTGGGGACCGGGGGTGTGTGGAGGGGTGGGTTGGGCTCCTGGAAAAGGAGTTTTTTTTTTTTTGTTTTGTGTTTTGTTAATTCAACACCTGCCAGCCTGACAGCATTCTAATTTTTTTTTTTTTCACCACCTATTACTGGATAAACTGGGCTCCCTCCCGCCTTCTCGTTCTTTTTTTTTTTTTTGGAAGGAGCGACCGCCGGCCCTCAGGATACCCGGTGCAGTGCCGCGGCTTTGAGGGCAGAGGTTGGGGTTGAAGGCCACCACTGCTCATCAGAGGCCGTGGAGAGGCTATTTTTTTTTTTTTAGATCTCCTGAGCTTCAGGGGTCTGCTTCAGAGACAGGTGTTTGGAGGTTTTTTTTTTTTTAGAGGTGGGGGCGACCTTCCTCCTGCCTGCCTGCTCTGACTTGGGGGGTTTTTTTTTTTTTGAACATAAACGTGGGAGCCTTTTCCTGCCCTGTAAGCAGCTCCCCTCCTTTTTTTTTTTTTCCCCTCCCCGCACACAGTGGCCTGGGATCAGGGTGGTGACACCTCGGCTTTTTTTTTTTTTCCCACTGGGTGCTGGAACTTCCTTCCTCATGGGGAGGGGACTCCAGCCTCCTGCCTGCCCTTCCCTACCTCTTTGACTCAGATTTCATCCTCCCTGTCTCTGAACCCTCTTTTTTTTTTTTTTCCCTAATGGTGACTTCCTCACCCCTTGCCGTGGCCCGTGAGATCCTGTTTTTTTTTTTTTTTGCATCCCTCTTCCCCCTGCTCACTCCTTTCTCTGCCTGCACGGCCCTCGGCGTGTCCCTGCCTCAGGGCCTTTGCATGTGCCGTCCCTTCTGCCCAGTGCACCCCTGTCCCTGTCCAGGCATCACCACCAATCTCACCAACTTTACCCAGACCTTGGTCAAACAGCACTTTTTTTTTTTTTCCTGTCTACCTAAACTACCAGCCCCCAGTGCCCATCTCCCTGCTGGCTTTTTTTTTTTTTTACGTGCTGCTTCCTGGCAGTTCAGGGTGCCACTTAGTTTTATTGTCTGTTTTTTTTTTTTTAATGTTGGCTGCACGGGAACAGTGGCTTTATGCTGGTCACTGCATCATTTTTTTTTTTTTTACAGCGTAGGTGCTGTTTGGATTGGCTGAGTGAGTGAATGAATGAATGTTTTTTTTTTTTTATCAGGGCATCCGCTGGGCCCTGCAGAGGGGAGCTGGACGGGAGTTGTTTTTTTTTTTTTTCAGTGGCCAGGTACAGTGTCCACCTTGGACGGGAGGGAGAATGGGGTGCTGCCATTTCCCATGGGGGGATAAGGGGCTGGGACGGACCTGGGAGGCAGGACATGAGACCTTTTTTTTTTTTTGCACCAGCAGGGAGGGGCCTCTCGGGAGCCTCAGGGTGCTGTGATCAGCTCTGCCCCCCTGTTTCAGGGGTAGAAACCAGAGCAGGCCAGCAGGCAAGGCTGCCACTCATTTTTTTTTTTTTGGGAGAGCTGGACAGGTTGTCATATGTTTAGGTCCTTCCAGATTGGCTTTTTTTTTTTTTTCAACCCCCCCACCATGTCCTCTTCCCATGGCTCCCTGGGTCTCTCTGTTTTTTTTTTTTTTGGGAGTTAGTGCCTGGCCCAACAGGGGTCCTAGTCCCCACACTACTTCTTTTTTTTTTTTTCTGCTGCCAGTGAGACAGATACCAGCAGAAATGAGCTTAGAGACCTTGTTTTTTTTTTTTTACCTCTGCAGTTCAGGAAGGCCAGGTTATGGGGGCAGTGGGGAGGGGATTTTTTTTTTTTTGCCCTCATTGACCACTCTGTCCCAATCTATAATTGTTCAGGGTGGGCATTTTTTTTTTTTTTTTAGGGACCAGAGAAGCAACTTCCTGTGTGGAGCAGGTGCTCCCAGAAAATAGGAGATGGTCAGTGGGTGGCACACAAGAGACTGTACCACCCCCGTGACTGTCAGATTTGATTTTGTTACAACCCCCCTGGCAGTGAAACAAAACCCACCTGTGGGCAGGGCTCAGCCTTTTTTTTTTTTTACACCATGAACAGAGAGAACTACTGGCCCAAGGTTCCAGGGCCAGTTATTTTTTTTTTTTTAAGCAGTGCCCAGCCTGGTGGAGGACATTGTCCAGCACATTTGAGAATTTTTTTTTTTTTTTGCAATCTGGCATTCAGCATCACCAGTAGGGGGCAGTAGAGGGCAGCATTTTTTTTTTTTTTCTGGCCTCAAATGCCGACTCTACCACTTTCTTCCAGCACTGACTCCCTTTTTTTTTTTTTTAGCCAGGTGCTCCTCCATTTTCTTGGCTATGAATGGGGATAGTAATGTTTTTTTTTTTTTACACAGAATCTTACCAGGCTCCTTTGCTCATTGAGGAATGAATGAATGTTTTTTTTTTTTTAGCATGGGCCCAGGTGCAACACAGTCATCTGTCATGCCAACCCTGTGAGTGAGAGCAGCCCAGTGATGGCCATTGCTTCTCTGTCTCCACAGTCTTTGAAGAGCCCGAGTTTTTTTTTTTTTGCTCCTTCTTCTCGGAAATCATCTCCTCCGTGTCTGACGTGAAGTTCAGCCACAGTGGCCGCTACATGCTCACCCGGGATTACCTGACAGTCAAGGTCTGGGACCTGAACATGGAGGCAAGACCCATAGAGACCTACCAGGTGGGCAGCACAGCAGGAGGCCTCCAATCCTTTTTTTTTTTTTCCTATGCTGAGATCCCCATGGAGGGGCCTTCCTAGCCAGGTGTGGCTTTTTTTTTTTTTTTTTGTAGGTGAAGACACGGAGGCTGAAGAAATCCAGCAACTCATCCCACTTTTTTTTTTTTTGAGGGTCGGAGTGCTCAGTCCTGCCTCACAGGGGGCTTCGGATGTCCCTTTTTTTTTTTTTGGGGCCCCAATTCGAGGGAGGAGAGAGATGTGGGAACAGAGATGAGCATTTTTTTTTTTTTCAGTGGAGCGTGTAGATGACGGCTTCCGTCCTCACCCCCGGGAGCCTGTTTTTTTTTTTTTCCATTAAAGTGGGTTAAGCGTTGCCCTCCCAGGGTGCGTCTGTAAGTATTTTTTTTTTTTTTGAACTTGGCACATGTTTCCTTTCCAGATCCTCAGCACAGGCCTATAATTTTTTTTTTTTTGTGAAGTCCGGGCCCTTCTTGGACAGTATTATTTATTATCTTGCTATTTTTTTTTTTTTTTATATGTTAGGGGGTAGACAACAAAACTCATGTGATGTTAAAATAAAATGTGGACTTGAAAGAGATGTGGGATGGCTTCAGAGCTGGTTCCAGTTAGGTGGGGAGATCAGTTTTTTTTTTTTTAGGAGGCGGCATTTGTGCCAGGCCTTGAAGGATGAGTAAGATCTGGCTTTTTTTTTTTTTTGGGAAAACACCCCATCAGAAACCCCAGCCGGTTCCACACGGTGTCACTTTTTTTTTTTTTTGTGCCACGTGCTTGACATCTGTCACCTCCATTTCTTACTTCCCGGTGATTTTTTTTTTTTTTCCCATTTGGTGGAAAGGGAACCCGGGCACTAAGAGGTGGGGAGATGAGGGAGGTGTCTCTCGGCTGGGCAGTGACAGATTCAGAGCCCAGCCTCAGAGCCCTACGCTTTTTTTTTTTTTTTGCCAAGACCTGGCGGGGAGGCATCCTGGGCAGCACAGGCCCCGCTGGGTTTTTTTTTTTTTGTCAGAGGGTGGGCTGCTCTGTTCTGACTCGGGCCCCAGAGGAACAGCTTTTTTTTTTTTTAGCCACACACCTACAAGGGCCGCTATGGGGACTGCCCCTTTGTCAGCCTTTTTTTTTTTTTTGAGTTCTTGCGACTGCCCCAGTTCCTCCCTCAGGCCCCCTCCTCACACTGCACACCCCAGGCAGGACTCAGCCCTCCTCTGTCCCTGTGGGAATGGCGGAGACCCCAGTTTTTTTTTTTTTCAGGATAAGCCCGGCTCAAGCCTGCAGGAGCCACTCTCTGGCTCCCTCTTTTTTTTTTTTTGGGAAATGAACATTTCCAACCCCCTCCGGCCCCTCATCCAGTCGCTTATTTTTTTTTTTTTGGTCAACAAAGGCCCTTGAACCCCTGAAACTATGTGGAATGTTTTCTATTTTTTTTTTTTTGGGAAGGGGACACAACTTTCCGAAATTCTCATGAAGGACCCCATGAAGTTTTTTTTTTTTTGCTCTGAAGGGTGAGGCCCTAAGCTGGGCACTTGGCATCTGGCCCAGCTTTTTTTTTTTTTCTAAAATAATAGCAATAACTACATAAAAGCAGCACAACAACCAACATTTTTTTTTTTTTTTTGATGTGCTAGAAATTGTGTGTAGCAGGACTGCGTTCGGCTGGTATGCTTTTTTTTTTTTTTCGGGGCTGTTTTCCTCTCACCACAGGGAGTCTGGAGAGGGCAGTTCATTTTTTTTTTTTTGCTCCATGCTCCATGACCCTGGCAGCACCACAGTGGTTCCTTCTGTGATTTTTTTTTTTTTCATTTGGGCGTTGGTTTTCCACTTCATATGTGGTACCTCATGGTGGCATTTTTTTTTTTTTACCTCCAAGCACTTTGCCTACATTCCAGGCAGGAAATAGGAAATGTGCTTTTTTTTTTTTTTGGGGTCTATTGCGTGTTTCACTGTGATTGTGAAATCTTCCCCAGAATGCTTCTCAGAAGACTTCTTACACCTCATTGTCTAGAATGGGTCCCCAGCAGCCACCACAGTTTTTTTTTTTTTTAATAGTTTGACAGCCTCTGTGGTTGAAGAAGGAAGGGGTGAAGGGGCTGGGGACAGGTGTTGAATGAGCCACACTGAGGTAAGTCCATAGTAGACTTTGCCTCATCTAAGCCTCCCAGCTGTCCTGGGAGGTAGGGCCGGTATTCTCTCCATCCCGTTTTATTGGAAGACTTTTTTTTTTTTTGGCGAATCTGTGACAGAGCCAGCAAGCAGCGGACCTCAGATTGACATTTTTTTTTTTTTTTCAGAGCTCTTCCTCGCCCTGCCACTAGAGGGCAGGAGAGGCTTAGTGCACGGGAGAGAGAACAGCTTGCGTATTTGGAAGCATGCATCACTAAGGCTGCTGGGACTGAGTTTTTTTTTTTTTCAAAAATGCAGCCCCGGGATGGGACATGAACACTAAAACCTGCTGCCATTTTTTTTTTTTTATTTTAGTTGTTACACATACTGAGCCAGTACCCTGTGCCCAACACAGTTTTTTTTTTTTTTCCCAGAGAGAAGGAAGAACCTCGGCCTCACCCTCAAGGGTCTCAGACAGACAGGAACACAGTGACCCTCAGCCTGGTGGGGCTGCAGCCCAGGGGCCCAAGGGGAAGGCTAGGGTCACCAGGAGGACCCGGGGAGTGGGGAGGGATGAGCACGGCCCCAGGCGGGAGTACTTTTTTTTTTTTTAACCATCCTGTCTGCAGTGAATAGCAGGCCCCTCCTCCCAATCCTGCTTCCCCTAATGCCACTCTGTTTTCCTGTGTGGCCCTTACACCATGTTAGTCAGATGGTTCAGTTTTTTTTTTTTTACAGGATGGGGAGAGAGACTGAGAAAGAGAGGGAGATTTGAAGGAATCGGCTCACGTGGCATGTTCTAAATCTGCAGAACAGGCCGGCAGGCTGGCGACTCAGAGGAGTGACCGTGCGAGCCCACAGGCATCTGTTGGTGGAATCCGCCGGTCCTCAGGGAGGTCGGTCTTTGTTCTATCGGGGTCTTCGACTGATTGGACGAGACCCCCCGCATGACGGAGGGCAGCCTGTTTTTTTTTTTTTCAGCTTAAATGTTAACCTCCCCCACAAAATGTCTTCACAGAAACACCATTTTTTTTTTTTTCGTGGCCCTGCCAAGCGGACACACGAAATTGATGTTCACACCACCCTTTTTTTTTTTTTTTTTCATTGGTTGTTAATTTCAACTTCTGGGAGTTGAAACCAGGCTCCATGGCACCCAGTTACCTGCCCTTCCCCACCCAGAGGACAGAGCCCATGCCCTGTTGTCCTGGCTTTTTTTTTTTTTGCAGAGGGCCGGCACTCATGAGACCCTCCGGGTACAGGGCTTGTAGGATTTTTTTTTTTTTGGTGGATGCAGGTCATGGGATGTCACCATCTCTCCTGGGGGGTCCGGGTTTTTTTTTTTTTGGCCCTGGTCAGCCTCTTAGAGGCTGTGTGACCCTGTGAGCCTCAGTGTTTTTTTTTTTTTACGGATGGGAAACCTGTGTGGGCTCCCTCTTCCCCTTTCTTGATGGCCTTTTTTTTTTTTTCTTGGTAATCATTACCCTCAAAAGCCTGCCCTGCACTTAATCCCAGAATTTTTTTTTTTTTCGCCCTCTTATCACTTTAAGTTTGAAGAAACTGAGGCTCAGAGAGGTGTTTTTTTTTTTTTAGATCACGCAGCTGGGAGGGCAGAGCCAGGATCTGGCCCCCAGGCAGTCCTGGCCCCTGTGCTGCGGGCGTTCTGTTTGTCACAGTGGACTCTGCTCCTGGGTGCTGCTTTTTTTTTTTTTTACAGCTCGGAGGTCAGCCATGTGCCTGGTTGTGGGCCCCCCGATAAGATTTTTTTTTTTTTATTGGGCTGTGTCAGGGCATTCAGACCCGTGCTGAGATGAGCAGGGCTGCGTCGGGCCGTGTCAGGGCGTGCAAACCCTTGCTGCTCTTTGAGACCCTTTTTGTGGAGGTTTTTTTTTTTTTGGGGCGCCCCGTCCACTCACCTCATCCCTTCTCCCACCAGGTCCACGATTTTTTTTTTTTTAAGCTCTGTTCCCTGTACGAGAATGACTGCATTTTCGACAAGTTTGAATTTTTTTTTTTTTGGAGCGACAGGTAAGCCCTGACCTCCGCCCGCACCTCACCTCACCGTGGGGAGGGTTTCTTCCCTGCAGGGGCCTGGGCTAGGATCCCGGTGACCCGCAGCACACGGCTTTTTTTTTTTTTTGGGTCAGGTGTCCGGGTGGAGCCCATGCTTTCCAGAGCAGGTCCAACTTTTTTTTTTTTTTTTCAAGGTGCAGGACGTGAAACTTTCTTCATCTTCTGTCACTGAACCTTTTTTTTTTTTTTGCGCCTGCCCTGTAGGCAGTAGTGGGAACATATTTCGTTAATTCAGGGTTTTTTTTTTTTTGCTCCCCTCTCCCAGCTTGTCAGGGGCGAGGGCTGTAGCCCAACACCTTTTTTTTTTTTTTTATCCACACCTGCATGCCCTGAGACAGCCCTGCGCCCCTGTGGCTTTGTTTTTTTTTTTTTTCACCCCTCTTCCCATCACCACTGCTGTCTCCCTCTCTTCCTGGTGACTTTTTTTTTTTTTCTGCTGAGGCTCAGGGGCACCTCGGAGCTCCTGCACCCTCCAGGGCTGGTCATAACCCACAGGTCCAGCTGTCTCTCAAACTCACCTCCTTGGAAAGTGGCCCCCCAGTGCCAGAAGTGAGTTCCTGTGTCTCCCTAGCCTGGGCTCAGCCCAGGGTGGGTATGGACAAGTTTTTTTTTTTTTAGGCCCCCTTACCTCTACCTGTGATTCCTTACCTCTGTAAGTAAGGAATTTTTTTTTTTTTCTCCATTCTGGAGGTGGGAAAATCCCTCCTCTGCCCTCCCAAATCACATTTTTTTTTTTTTCAGGGTCCTGCCGGGTGTAAGATTCTGAAATAGACAAGCCTGTTCTCCTTTTTTTTTTTTTAAGCTCAGAAGCTGAGAGGTGGCCTCTCAGTGTCTCCTACAGCTGCTTTTTTTTTTTTTTTATACCTCCTAGTCCAGCTGCCCAGATCCGGAAGTGGGTCTCCAGGTGATTTTTTTTTTTTTGATAAAGACCACACTGGCTGCTAGATCAGAATACCACCCGTCAGGAGCTTTTTTTTTTTTTCCTCCTCCCCACAGTCCTGTCCAGTGTGGTAGGTAAGGAGGGTGGAGTTTTTTTTTTTTTTCCTGACTCGGGCGTCACCTGGTAGGGGGGTGTCCACCCTGTGGATGGCTTTTTTTTTTTTTCAGGTCTGGGCTCTGCCGGACCTCTGAGGGTGGCCGGCACTGTGGTGGTTTTTTTTTTTTTCTATGCTATGACCCTCTGGCTCTGGGCACAGGACTGGGACCATCAGGGTTTTTTTTTTTTTTAAGAGGAGGGGTTGAACATGGCAGGGACAGGACCAGGAGGGAGCTCCTTTTTTTTTTTTTTGGATCCAAGCAGGGGGCCAAGCCATTGTGTCCAGGGAAGGCGGTTCGTTTTTTTTTTTTTCATCCTGGAGCTCCCCCTGACCGCGGGGGTCTCTGAGCAGAGCCCGAGTTTTTTTTTTTTTCCGACATGGTGATCACAGGGGGCCACTAAAGGATACTCAGAAAACCAGTTTTTTTTTTTTTCCTGGGGCTGGGCTGGCACAGCTGGGTCAGCAGGACACAGGACCTTCTCTCTAAGGCCCTGCCCCCAGATAGATCCCAGACACCCCCAGCAGACAGGGCTCCTCCCATGTTTTTTTTTTTTTGGCCCTGACACATTAGGGGTTCTCTAGTGCAGTGGGCCCCAAGAGGGTTTTTTTTTTTTTTAGGAGAGGAATCTGCAGCTGTTGTGCGTTTTGGGGGATAGGTCCCCGCTTTTTTTTTTTTTCAGCCCGTCCTTCCTTCAAGCTGCCACCAGGGGGCACCCGAGGACGGGTTTTTTTTTTTTTCAGGACTGGAGAAGCCGCCAAACTCCTCCAAGCTGACAGTGGCGTCCATTTTTTTTTTTTTCTGTCCTGCCTGCCACCCGCAACTTCCTGCGTGCACTTTACACACCAGTTTTTTTTTTTTTTAGTGATCCCCCACATGCCTCCCTGTCTGTCCTTGTTTACCTCCCACATTTTTTTTTTTTTCCTGGGGGGCTACTCTGACTCAACCTGTTCTGAGCCCTTCACTGGGACTTTTTTTTTTTTTAGTGGCTGTGGATGTTTCTAGAAGGCATAGAGGTGTGCCACCTCCCACTTTTTTTTTTTTTCTGTTCTGAGAACAACATGCCCCATGGTCAGGAGTCCAAGATAAACAGTTTTTTTTTTTTTCCTTCCAGGGGCTCAGAGGCTCAGGAGAGAAGCAAGGATTCCCCCTGGTTTTTTTTTTTTTGCAGACCAAAGCAAACTCGAATCCTCGCGGGCTCCCAGTTGCTGCCCTTTTTTTTTTTTTTACCCCCTCTGACCATTGGCCCGGCCCACAGACCGCCGCGGCTGCCGCATTTTTTTTTTTTTATGGACCTTGCAGTGGGGCTTCCCAGTGCCGGCAGAACGCGGATGGGCTTTTTTTTTTTTTGAGGCAGCAGCTCTCCTGCTGGACTCCCTCAGTTTCTGGTCCATATTCTTTTTTTTTTTTTCGTGTGCTTGAGGAAGCCCCTGGGCCTCTCTAAGTCAGCTCACCTGGAAAGTGGTTCTAGGAAACTGTGACCTCCGTGGCCGTTTTGGGGATGAGACCATGTGTGATGCTTTTTTTTTTTTTCCAGTTCGTATGGGCAGGGGTCCCAGTGATCCTGCGTGGACTGTACTGTTGGCAGGCCTGCCCTTCCCCTGGTTACCCACTTGGAGGAATCCCGCAGACCCTCCCACACTTTTTTTTTTTTTCCCCTCTTCTATGAAGCTCTCCTTATCTGTCCTGCCTGGTGGCAGGGATTTTTTTTTTTTTAGCATGCTCAGGTGCAGGAGTCAGACACACCTACACTTGCTCCGAGAATTTTTTTTTTTTTGCTTCCCCAGGGGCTCATGCTGTATCCGTAGGGCCATTTTCTTCTCTCTTTTTTTTTTTTTCTCTGCTTCTCCCTGCTTCTCCTTACTAGCCTCGTCCTCTCCCTCTTTTTTTTTTTTTTTTAAATCATTCCCCTTTCCATTATCCTCAGCCAGCAAACCCCTCCCAGGGTTTTTTTTTTTTTCTCATGGAAGGATCTGATTGGCTTTGTGTGGGTCACATGCCCACTTTTTTTTTTTTTTTTTAGGGGCGGGGAGAGCACTGTGATTGACAGCTCACAGGGATAGGGAGTCTTTTTTTTTTTTTTTAGCTCACTGCAACCTCCGCCTTCCCAGGTGAAGCAATTCTCCTGCCTCAGCCTCCCAAGCAGCTGGGATTACAAGCCCCGGCGGGGGCGGGGTGGGCAGGAGCCTTTTTTTTTTTTTTTTAAAGAGGAAGGGAGCACTAGGGCTAAAAGCAGCCGGCGTTTTGATCCCTTTTTTTTTTTTTGCTAGGAGAGGTGAAGCAGCTCACCTGCCCTTTTCCCTGTTAAGGGAATTTTTTTTTTTTTAAGAAACCTGCATGAATGTGAGGAATGGCTCTCACGGTGCTGGGGCTTTTTTTTTTTTTTTGAGAGGGGCCCCCTCCCTCTCCCCCAGAGCACGTGTCAGCTGAATTCCTTTTTTTTTTTTTGGGAGGATCAGGAACTGTGTGGGTTGCAAATAACTTTGATTATGTCACTTTTTTTTTTTTTAATGGATCAGAAGAGCCAGCGTTGTGTGAAATCACCCAGGTTCATTTTTTTTTTTTTTTTTTGAAGAACAAAGGGGGCTGCCTCCCCCGTGTGCCAGCGCGGGGAGTGTGGCCTCCCCCAGTCAGCCTGTGGTGCCTGGGCAGGGCCCTTCTGTGGGACTCGTTCACCCAGCCCCACTCTCATGCTGCTTCCCTTGTCCCAGGCTCTGAGTCACATATAAAGCAGATGTGGTTTTTTTTTTTTTGACGATTAGGATCGAGAAGTACCTGGTAAATAACAAGAGGCAAAGTGCTTTTTTTTTTTTTCTGTGCGGGCTGTTCAGCCTGCGTCCCCTGATTCGCACTTACCAGGGGTTTTTTTTTTTTTTTGACCCTAATATTTATAGAAAACTAAGATAGGGTGCATGTCAGGGTATTTTTTTTTTTTTACCCAGACCCAGGGGGACTGGCCAGAGCCCAAGCCCCTGACCACAGTGCCTGAGCTCACGTGTGAGCTTTTGTCCTCTGTGCATAACCCGTGGAGACCCAGGGATCCCCTTTTTTTTTTTTTAGAGCAGTGTTAACCTCAGGAAGCCCAGCTCAGCTTCCAAAAGGAAATTTTTTTTTTTTTTTGAAGAGCCTTCAGCAGGACAACTTCTTTATCTCGTGGCTGCTTTTTGTTTTTTTTTTTTTCTCCCCACTTACCTTGCACCCCACAGCTGCTCCAGGGCCCTGCAGAGGCCAAACCCCAAAACCCTTCCTCTGGGCGCAGGCCCACAGAGCTGTGCTTTCTCTGCTGCCTTTTTTTTTTTTTTTGAACTTATCCTTCCTCCCGCCAGCAGGATCCCCTCCTTAGGAGCAGGTTTTTTTTTTTTTTGGTGTGGAATTCTCTTTAGCAGGATGGCGAGGGCGGTGAGCCTCTGCACCTCAGCACTGCTCGCCCTGTCCCTCATGGCGATGCATATTCCTTTATTCACCCGACTCCTTTTTTTTTTTTTGCCCCTGGAGGGAAGCAGGGCCTGGTGGTTCTCTGTCCCAGCTGCTTCTTTTTTTTTTTTTTGCTGTGGTCGCACAGTCCCTTTGGAAGGCCAAGGCTTTCTCTCCTGGTTTTTTTTTTTTTACAGGAGGGCATTGTCTTTTCTTTTCTTTCCTTCTTTGTTCTTCTTTTTTTTTTTTTTTTTTTTTTTTTTTTTCCCGAGACGGAGTTTTGCTCTTATTGCCCAGGCTGGAGTGCAGTGGTGCAATCTCGGCTCACTACAACCTCGCCTCCTGGATTCAAGCAGCTCTCCTGCCTCAGCCTCCCGAGTAGCTGGGATTACAGGTGCCCACTACCATGCCCAGTTTATTTTTGTATTTTTAGTAGAGACGGGGTTTCATCATGTTGGCCAGGCTGGTCTCAAACTCCTCACCTCAGGTGATCCACCCACCTCGGACTCCCAAAGTGCTGGGATTACAGGTGTGAGTCCCCGCGCCCGGCCAGCAGGGTATTTTCATGATGATTGGGGCAGAGCATAAAAATGATCTTAGCTCCTGGCCCCAGAGTCTACGTGTTGGTGGCAGCTGACATGTGAGGGGATATAAGAGACCCCAAGAGACAGGGGAATAGAGGCAGGTGTGGGTTCCCTTTCCAGGGAGTGATGGCTCTGTAGGCTCTGGGCTTGCTTTCTTTTTTGTCTGTTTGTTGTTTTGAGACAGAGTTTTACTCTGTCACCCAGGCTAGACTGCAGCGGTACAGTCACAGCTCACTGCAGCCTCTGCCTCCCCAGGCTCAGGTGATCCTCCTGCCTCAGCCTCCCGAATAGCTGGGACTATGGTCATTTAAAATTTTTTTTTGTAGAGGTGGAGTCTCGCTATGTTGTCCAGGCTGGTCCTGAACTCCTAGGCTGACGCCATCCTCCCACTGGGGCCTTCCAAAGTCCTGGGGTTATAGGCATGAGTCCCCACACCTGGGCTTATTTCTTGAGAAGAGGCTCGTGCTCCTCCTCGCCTGACGCCTCTCCTTCTCCCACCAGCGTCATCATGACCGGGGCCTACAACAACTTCTTCCGCATGTTCGATCGGAATACCAAGCGGGACGTGACCCTGGAGGCCTCGAGGGAAAGCAGCAAGCCTCGGGCTGTGCTCAAGCCGCGGCGTGTGTGCGTGGGGGGCAAGCGCCGGCGTGATGACATCAGTGTGGACAGCTTGGACTTCACCAAGAAGATCCTGCACACGGCCTGGCACCCGGCTGAGAACATCATCGCCATTGCTGCCACCAACAACCTGTACATCTTCCAGGACAAGGTGAACTCTGACATGCACTAGGTACGTGCAGATCCCGGCCCCCACCATCCAGCCTTGCGCAAGTTATCCCCGACATGATCTTCACGACCACAACGCAAGGAGGGGAAGGAAGTCACAGCGCCAACGAGGACAGCCGCAGAGGTGGCAGTGTGTGGACACAGGAAGCCTGGGCCCCCATCCCTGCCCCAGCTTCCCTAGGCCAGAATTGTGTTTGGCAGTAATTGTCTGTTTAAAAAAATAAAAAGGAAAGGAAGCGTTCACCGCCACAAATCATAAAATGGACATGACTGTGGAGTCTTACAGTTCAGGGTTCTTTCATTCACGTCCCTTCACCGTCTCGGTCTGCGGTTTTTACCACATCGATAGGACTTTTTATGCGTCCGGGTTAATTTTTCACTCCAGTGCGTCCTGCTGCAGGGGCCGGAGCTGATGGGAGCTGCTTCCCCCCCATGCCTCACCGGTCCCAGATCAGGGCTCCAGGGACAGATGATGAATCTCAAACGAGCCAGCCAGGGGGTCTTTTGGTTATAAATGGAGCAGTTGGCCCTGTCTCAGAGCTGATGATCGCACCTTTGTATTTCAGAGGGTGAATTCATGCTGAGGATTTGCAGATGCAAGCTTCTTTCCTAGGTTTTCTGAACGTCTTGAAACATCCCAGGTCCCAGATCTGGTGCAGTTTCTCGAGAGGAGCGGGGTGGGGTTTGTCTTCTGCGTGCCTGTGTCCTCATCTGATTCACCTGCCGTTTGCTGAGCCTCTCCTGTGTGCTGGGCATGGTGCTCAGCCCTAGAGGCTGTTGACTTACCCCCTGCAGCCCTCCCTGCAGCCGCTTTCCCCTCGCCCTTCAGCATTCACTGGGCACCTTCCTGGAGCGGACACTGGCTCCCATTCACGATTTTTTGGAATCTTCCTCCTGACTGCGAGGTGGGTGTTCATTCATTTCCATCATAAGCACCAACTTCTCGAAGCGTGCCAGGCTCTGGGCTGGATGCTGGGGATAAGAGGAAGCCTTAGGATCCCCTCTGTCCACGAGAAGAAACTGAGGCTCTGAGCAGATGCACAGGTCACCCATGGCAGGCGCCTGCCAAGCAGTGGTGTCAGGAGCCCGTCCGGGTCTTCACACAAGGTTCTCTCCCGTCCATCTCGTGGGTGGCTCATGTTTAAGTGACACTCGAATGGAAGGTTTGGAAAGGAATGCCTCTCTGTCTTGGAAAATAGGACATGGCAGACTTGGCTACGACAAGGGTCCGGGAGAACTGAAACGCAGGATGGAAGATGGAGAAGACCCCCCGGAGCTCCTTGCTCTGCTTGGTGGCTTCAGGAGTACGGCCCTCCCCGGGACTCCACTTCACCCTGGGCTTGGCACCCTCCTTGAGCCAATGCACTGAACTGCCTCTGAAAGGAAATTGCATGTTCTGACCATTTTAGGATACCTTTACTTTAAGGACCACACAGTCCCAGAGGACGTGTCCCTCGGGAACTCTGCCCCTCTGACAATGAGGGCGACAGAGAAGGTGGTGTTTCCATGGTAGATGCTCCTGTTCTGATGATACCACACCTGCCCACCCCTCTGAGTCGTCTTTGCTCATGGACTCACAGCAGAACCACGCAGTTTGGCATTTTGATTCAGAAAGCGAGGAGCAGAGACCCAGCCAAATCCAACCATTTTGTTTTGTTTTGTTTTGTTTTTTACAAGATGTAACATAACCCAGGAAATAGACCCAGCTGAGGTTATTCTCAGTGGATTACAGTATACTTTTGTGTGTGTAAAAGCACAAAGTGCATGTGTACTCACTTCTGGCCATATAGCATTTACACAGGGAAATGGATCATTGGTTTTTTTTTTTTTTAATCAACGTGAATGAAGAATGTTTGTTTATATATCACTATAAAATCCAGTTGACCTGGACAGTATTATATGTACATATCTATTCTAATTAAATTTAACAATCAAAAGATTGGATTACTTTTTCCCCCTTGTAAAGAGGTTTGAGAATGTGGTTAATTGTATAGATAGCGTGTTGAAGCCAAAACCCAGCTCTGAGGGCCTTACCAATTACTTGGATATTTGCTACGATCCATCTCCCTTTGTGAGTCAGATGTTAAGAGAGGAAACTTGTATTTGCAGCTAGAGGTTACTGTCACATCGTAGATTTAACATTTACCATCTTCAAAGTACGAATCTTACATGTTCTTCAAAAGGAAGTCTTAATACGGTTCCTAGTTCCTTACTTCTGTTTTAAACTTTGGGTACCAAACCAAAAAGGAGAAAAAAGAAAGGAAAAGCTCTTCTTTGAGGAAAGGTATGTCTTTGGATCCCTGGAAAATAATGATGTCCAAAGCAAATTGTGAAGATAAAATGTGTGTTAAGAAAAGGTGTCAGTAGGAGGGACAAAACCAGAAATGGCGGAAGGACCAGCGTAATAGTCCCAGACTTGCATCCCTGCTCTGCTTACATCTTCTGGTCTTCTCGAATGTACGGGCGTTCACATGGTCGTTGTGAAGTTGTTGGGTTTTTAAAATTTAGCTCTTCTCTGAGGACGAAGCTCTTGGTGATGGGGGTGGTGGTGGGGGTGGTGGAGGTGGTGGTGGTGGAGGTAGGGGTGGTGGTGGTGGTGGTGGTGGTGTGGGATACATGGTGATCAAGTTGTCAGCCCTGATCAGTTTGGACTCTGTAACTCATAGGTGCATTCTTTTTCTCTTTGGTGTCTCACAAATTACCCAATTGTTGAATAAAACTATAAATATGTTAATACCAGCTTTTTCCAATAAAATAACAAATGTTACATCAAAAACGAGGCCCAGGATGCTGTTTGTTTTTAATGAGTCCAACCTCATGGAGGTGGAGCCCGTCGGGAGGCAGTACAGCAAGTGGGGATGCCCATGGGCTTTGCACTGGGAAGCTGGGTTCACATCAAGGGTTTGCTGCCTCTAGCTCCTAATTCAGCTCTTAACTTTCCCTAGCTCTGAATTCATCACTGAGGAAATGGAGCTACTAGGACTCCCTATTTTGTAGGTTTGTGGTGGGAGAGAAAGGGCAAGATTAACTTGGATAGTGCAAAACACAGTGCTTGGCACACAACACTCCGCAATGATAGTTGTCTTGTTTTGTCTTGCATCAGGTGTGCACGGCCCATCATGATCTCCACACACACACTCTCCATGAGAATATGATACAGATGAGGAAACTGATTCAGAGAGGTTGAAGAATTAGCTCACAATCACACAGGTAGCACATAACTCCTCGTTCAGTTCTCCCCCACAGACGTACCTGAGGGTCCCAGAGAATGGAAGCCTCGGGGGAGAGAAAGGACAGGGTACCTGGATTCTTCAGGAAGCCAGAGAGGCTCTGCCCCACCTGCCACAATTGCTGAGCTAAACAGGAGAGTGTGCGGGTAAGTTTCCCTGCACCCTGCCAGGAGCCAGACCCTGCCAGGAGCCAGGCCCTGCCTCTGGCTTTCAAGAGGGAGCTTGGGGCTTCAGGTTCAGCAGGAGGAAGGCAGGTGCTGTTCTGCAGGTCTGCTTTATTGGGGCTTTATTGGCGCTCAGTTCCACAGCTGCAACCTTTAGCTACAGTGCCAAGTGGAATCTAGTTTTCAAAACTCTGATAATGAATATCTGCATAGAGATAAGAGAATATGGAAAACATAGCCATAGAAACACATGGAGACGCTAAGGAAACCATGGAAATTAGAAGCATGATTGCAAAAATAAAGATCTCTACAAAGATTGGAAGATATGGTTGAGGAAATTTCTCAGGAAGTAGAACAGAAAAAATCAAAGAGAATCCCAAAGAAAACAGATGAGAAAAAGGGATAACCTTGGCCAGGCACGGTGGCTCACACCTGTAATCCCAGCACTTTGGGAGGCCAAGGCAGGCAGATCACTTGAGGTCAGGAGATGGAGACCAGCCTGGCCAACATAGTGAAACCCGTCTCTACTAAAAATACAAAAATAAGCTGGGCATGGTGGGGCATGCCTGTAATCCCAGCTACTTGGGAGGCTGAGGCAGGAGAATCGCTTGAACCCGGAAGGTGGAGCTTGTAGTGGGCCAAGATTGCACCACTGCATTCCAGCCTGGGTGACAGAGTGAGACTCCGTCTCAAAATAAATAAATAAATAAATAAATAACAAAGCTAACCTCCTCTAAGAGGCCTCAGCACACAGATATGAGGAGTTCAACAAAGAAAATGGAGGCAAGAAAATATTCAAAAGTTTTCTGACCTGAAGAATCAAACTTCGCAGATGAAAAGAAACCACTGTGTCTGGCACGACAGCAGAAAATCCACCCACTTCCAGGGCCATCCCTTTGAGGAATCAGAACTCAGGGAGACTGAGAACACTGTAAACCATGGCTTAGGAGAATCAGAATACGTCTTCAGGTGTCCCAGCAGCAATAAGAGAAGGGAGCGCTGCTTTCAAACTCTAAGAAGAAATTTTCGAACCTCAAATACTGGCTCTGCCCCTTCAAACTATTGATTACACTTGAGAGGGAAACAAAGACGTTTTACCCACGCGAGGTTTTGTACCAATTAGCTTTTGGTGTGTAATGAAACACCCCAGAATTTAGGGTCTTTTTAAAAAAAGAGTAAACATTGACTATTTCTTACAATTCCGTGTGTGGGCTGGGAGGCAGAGTTGAGGGTGAATGTTTAAGAACGGCCTCACTCACAGGTTTGCTGGTTGTCTCAGGGTAACACAGATGCCATCAGCAGGCGTCTCTGTCACCCAGGGGGCTCTCCCAGGCCAGCCCTGTGATCGCCCCAGTGTTACCAGAAAGCGGTCTCAATCCAGACCCAGGAGAGGGTTTTTGGATCTTGCACAAGAAAGAATTCAGGGCGAGTCCACAGAGTAAAGTGAAAGCAAGTTTATTAAGAGAGTAAAGGCAAGAAGGAATTGCTAGAAGGAATTGCTAGCCACAGGCAGAGTAGGGTGTTCCCAAGAGCAAGAGGAGGAACGCATGTGCCTTAGGTACAGTGCTTGTTTATATACAAGACAACAAACCACAAAATCCTGGGGGAGGTGTGCTCTGCTGCTAGGGCTGGTGACTAGGGATTGCTCGTATTTGTGCAACTACTGTCTTCTGCGAGAATCTTTACAGCAAACCTTTTTTTTTTTTTTTTTTTGAGATAGAGTCTTGCTCTGTCACCCAGGCTGGAGTGCAGTGGTGCAATCTCCACTCACTGCAACCTCTGCCTCCCAGGTTCAAGCAATTCTTCTGCCTCAGCCTCCCAAGTAGCTGGGATTACAGGCGCCAGCCACCATGCCTTGCTAATTTTTTGTGTTTTTAATGGAGATGCATTTCACCAGGTTGGCCAGGCTGGTCTTGAACCCCTGACCTCCGGTGATCTGCCTACCTCAGCCTCCCAAAGTGCTGGGATTACAGGTGTGAGCCACCGCGCTCAGCCACCAAACTTATTTTTAAACTAAGAATGCTTTTGTTCTTAAGGTATTGGGACATCAGGACATTTCCTGGGTTTGTTAAGTCCGGGGTCTGTTCGGTAAACATTGTTCACTTATTCCCTATCTGTAAATCTCCTGTTGACTAAGAATGCCTAACCTCCTGGGAATGCAGCCCAGCAGGTCTCAGCCTCATTTTACCCAGCCCCCATTCAAGATGGAGTCACTGTGGTTCCAATGTCTCTGACACTGGAGCTCCCAAGGTCAGTAAGATAAGCCCCAAGGCACACCTGCTTCTCAAGTCTCTGCTTGTGTCACATTTACTGTCGTCCCGTGGGCCAAAACAAGTGACAGGACCAAGCCCAGGTCACCATGAGAGGAGACGACCCAAAGGTATGGACCTATGGTGGGGAAGTTTTCAAACTGGCTCCCATTCACATAAAGACAATTTCTCAGGCAGCCGCTGGAGGGTGTGCATCACTAACATGAAACCAGGAAAGAAGGAAACCCATGAGGCAGGGACCCCTGGTTGTCCCTGACATCTGACCTTCCCTTTGCACATCACAGTGGAGTTGTTGTCTGGACACAGGATCGTCCGCCAGAGCCAGGTGGGGCCCACAGAGAGGACATGGAAGTGATCTGCTCCAGGCACTGCGGTAAGAGGGGAGAAGCCTGTCTTTCACCTGCCCTCCCATCCTAAATGCTGGCCAGACTGTAGACGCAGGGCTGGAAGTGTAACCGCCCAGGGGGTTCACCTCGCCCCCTGCCTGGACAGCACCGATTTATCAAGACAGGGGAATCGCAATGGAGAAAGTAATTTATGCAGAGCCGGTTGTGTGGGAGACTGGAGTTTTTTTATTATTCAAAATCAGTCTCCCCAAGCATTCGGGGATCAGAGTGTTAATTTTAATTTGATTAATTAATTTGGAGACAGAGTCTCGCTCTGTCACCCAGGCTGGAGTGCAGTGGCACGATCTTGGCTCACTGCAACATCCACCTCCTGGGTTCAGGTGATTCTCCTTCCTCAGCCTCCCGAGTAGCTGGGACTACAGGCACCCGCAACCATGACCGGCTAATTTTTGTATTTTTAGTAGAGACAGGGTTTCACTGCCTTGGCCAGGCTGGTCTCGAACTCCTGACCTCAAGTGATCTGCTCATCTCGGCCTCCCAAAGTGCTGGGATTACAGGCATGAGCTACTGCGCCCGGCCAGGATCACAGTTTTTAAAGACAATTTGGCGGGTAGGGGCTTGGGAAGTGGGGAGTGCTGATTGGTCAGGTTGGAGATGGAATCACAGGGGTTTGAAGTGAGGTTTTCTTAATGTCTTCTCTTCCTAGGTACAATGGTAGAACTGGTTCAGCCTGGTTACTGGTCTGGGTGGTGTGGGCTGATCCATTGAGTGCAGGGTCTGCAAAATATCTCGAGCACTGGTCTTAGGTTTTCCAATGGTGATGTTATCCCCAGGAGCAATGTGGGGAGGTTCAGACTCTTGGAGCCAGAGGTTACATGACCCCTAAACTGTTCATTTCTAATCTCGTAGCTAGTTTGTTAGTCCTGCAAAGGCAGACTGGACCCCAGGCAAGAAGGGGGGTCTTTTTGGGAAAGGGCTGTTAGCAATTTATTTCAGTCAAACCATGAACTGAAGTCCTTCCCAAAGTTAGTTTGGCCTGCGTCCAGGAATGAACAAGGACAGCTTAAAGGTTAGAAGGAAGATGGAGTCGGTTAGGTCTGACTTTTTTCACTGTCGTAATTTCCTCAGTTATAATTTTGCAAAGGCGATTTCAGGAGCTGGAGCAGCTAGTTTAGATCTCAGGATAGAAAATGTGGCTCAAAAGAGAGAGAGCGACAAGAGAGAAGAAACCTGCCTGGAGCCAGCACGCTAGCCTGGGCCACTTACTCAGATGCTGACCTGAGAAAGAAACACAATTCTGTTTTGCATAAACTGTTGTACTGGGGGGTCTCCGTTATAGCAGCCTAGCCTGTTTCCTAGCTAATCCATCTGGGATCCCAGAAACAGGGATACCACAGAGGAGAGACACAAAGGGAACACCCGGGTGACAGTGAGGGAGTCCCCAGGGTGACAGCTGGGTGGTGGGCCTGGAGAGTGAACAGTCCAGATTGACACAGGAAGATGGAAAGTTCCAAACAACAAATCTATGGGGGCTGGGGAGGCAGAAATTGGAGCTTATCTGATAGTTTTAACACATTGAGAAGAATTTTCTATTTTTCACAAATGAATTAGTGATCAATGTGGAAAAAAATAGACAAACAAGAACTAGATAATTATTAGGCACAGCATAAACAAAAAGTAATCATAAGCCAGGCACGGTGGCTCACGCCTGTAATCCCAGCACTTTGGGAGGCTGAGGCAGGCAGATCACCTGAGGTTAAGAGTTTGTGACCAGACTGGCCAACATGGCAAAATCCCGTCTCTACTAAAACTTAGCCGGGTATGGTGGCAGGTGCCTGTAATCCCAGCTACTCAGGAGGCCAAGGTAGGAGAATTGCTTGAACCTGGGAGGTGGAGGTTGCAGTGAGCCAAGATCACACCACTGCACTCCAGCCTGGGTGACAGAGTGAGACTCAGTCTCAAGAAAGAAAAAAGAAAGAAAGAAAGAGAGAGAGAGGAGAGAGAGAGAGAGAGAGAAAGAAAGAAAGGAAGGAAGGAAGGAAGGGAAGGAAAGAAAGAAGGAAGGAAAAGAAGGAAAAGAAGGGAGGGAAGGAGGGAAGGAAGGAAGGAAGGAAGGAAGGAAGGAGGGAAGGAGGGAAGGAGGGAAAGAAGGAAGGAAGGAGGGAGGGAGGGAGGGAGGAAGGAAGGAAGGAAGGAAGAAAGGAAGGAAGGAAGGAAGGAGATCGTAGTGCCTTCCGTGCCCCAGCTGTGAATCCTATTTACACAGCACAGAAATGGTGGACACTAATTTAACAGGACCCGGTGAGATGGTCATATTGGGAAGGTGGCTTGTCCACTAAAGTCTGGTTGAAGGAGGCCGGGGGGCCATATGAGAGATGATTTTTCTTTCATGATGTCCACGCATATTATGTCAAACTGGAAAATCAGAAATAGCGTGTGAACATGTTATTCCAAAACATGGAGGTAACTAGCAGAAGAAGCAGCTGAAAGGGGTGGAGGCCGTTCCTCTAAGGCATGGCAACGGGAGGCGAGAGCAAAGGGATAGAGGCTTTAAAACGCATGAGCATTTAATTTAACTTAAAGAGAAAGGAAGCGAAGATGTTGCGGAAAGAGGTCCCAGTGCAGACCCCAAGAGAGGGTTCTTGGATCTTGTGGGAGAAAGAATTCAAGGCGAGTCTGTAAAGTGAAAGCAAGTTTATTAGGAAAGTAAAGGAAGAAAAGAATGGCTACTCCATGGACAGAGCAGCCCCGAGGGCTGCTGGTTGCCTATTTTTATGGTTATTTCTGATGCTATGCTAAACGAGGGGCGCATTATTCATGCCTCTCCTGTCTAGAACATGGAGGGTAACTTCCTGACATTGCCCCTGCATTTGTAAACTGTCATGGCACTGGTGGGCGTGTGGCAGCAAAGGCGACCAGAGGCCACTCTCGTGGCCATCTTGGTTTTGGTGGGTTTTGGCCGGCTTCTTGACTGCAAACTGTTTTATGGGCGAGGTCTTTATAACCTGTATCCTGTGCCAGTCTCTTATCTGATCCTATGACTTTGGATGCCTTAATCGTCTGGGAATGCAGCCCCGTAGGTTTCAGCCTCATTTTACCCAGCTCCTATTCAAGATGGAGTTGCTCTGGTTCACACGCCTCTGACAGTCTGCCCTATGTGTCCTGGTGGGTGGGGTGGAGAGTGTGAGAAGGGTTCAGGGACTGGCAGAACCTGAGCTGGGCTGGCAGGAGATGGAGCAAAGCAAAGGGTTCCTGGGTGGAACATGCTCTGCTCTGTCTCCATTCTGGAGCAGGATTTGCTGATGACAGTCCCTGCACTTCCTCAGGCCCCCGCTTACCTAGCTGCCCACTGGAAGGGAGCATGTCTTGGCCGCACCCAGCACAGGATCCTTGAGAACTGGAGAATGAATGGATGATGGACTAAATCCATAAATTCATGAATGATTGAATAAATGATTGAAGGAATGAATGGCTCCATGAATGAATGATTGTGTAAATGATGGTGTGATGGATACTTTATTTCTCAACAAATCGTAGCCACCCCGAAAAGCAGATCTTTATAATCGTGATCTCACAGAGGAGCCAACTGAGGCAGGAAAAGTTAGGAAGCATGCCCAAGGCCCATCCTATAGGTTTAGACAAGAGTGACCACTGATTGAGACCTACTGCGTGCCGGGCCTTGTGTCGCACACTTTGCACTCTATTTCATTCTACATAAACCTGTGAGGCATGTCCTATGATTGCTCCTGTTCTAGAGGTAAGGAACTTGAGTTTCAGAAAGGTTAGGGAACCTGCCCAGGGCCACACAGTAAAGGCAGAGGCCAGGCTGGAACCCAGGTCTCTGAAACCTATGTGGTCTGGAGCTGGGGTCTGGTCCCATTCTGTCTTGACCCCAGCACCTCTGTTCTTCCCGCACTGATATCACGAGGCAAAGGGTGGTGAACTCCATGCAGCCTGCAGAATCTAGGGAAAGTCGTAAGGTTTCTGTTGGTACCTGTATTAGGGTTCTCCGGAGGGACAGAACGAATAGGATCTGTGTGTCTGTGAAAGGGGGTTTATCAGGGAGAACTGGCTCACACGATCACAAAGGAAAGTGTCATGACAGGCTGTCTGCAAGCTGGGGAAGAAGGAAGCCAGTAGTGCCTCAGCATGAGTCCAAAAGCCTCAAAAGTAGGGAAGCTGACAGTGCAGCCTTCAGTCTTTGGCGGAAAGCCCCAGAGCCCCCGGCAAACCACTGGTGTAAGGTCCCAGAGTCCAAAGGCCGAAGAACATGGAGTCTGATGTCTCCAAGGGCAGGAGGAGCGGAAGGAAGCATCCAGCATGGGAGGAAGATGAAGCTGGAAGACTCCGCAAGCCAGCTTCCCCACCTTCCTCCTGCTCAGTTGGAGCCGCGCTGGCAGCCGATTGGATGGTGTCCACCCACATGGAGGGTGGGTCTTCCTCTCCCAGTCCACTGACTCAAATGTCAGTCTCCTCTGGCAACACCCCCACGGACACACCCAGAAACAACGCTTCACTAGCTATCTGGGCATCCCTCAATCCAATCCAGTTGACACCTCACGGTAACCATCACAGTACCCATCGGGATTCATTGTTCATATGCTACAAAAAGTTCCTGCGTAGTAACTTCCGCCACTTTTTGCTGAAAGAAATCCAAACAGCCTCGAGGAGGGGACAGCCTCCTTGACTTAACTAAACACAAAGCCCTCCCAGGTTTGGAAGTACCTGGAGACACTGGTCGGTGTTCTGCAGGGAGCAGTCGGCTGCCCCACCCAGCTCTGGGCCCCAGCTCCCTCCTGTCATGGGGCTGATGTCTTGGGGCTCTTCCAGCTCCAGCAGAAATGGGGAGTGGGGTACCGGGTCTCCTCACTGCCTGGCTTGCCGGGCCAGGCTCTCGGCTCTCAGCCCGTTATATGCTTAGTCTCAGCTGGGGCTTCCCACAACGCAGCACCCGAGTTCTTTCCATCTTTGGGGGTGGGATTCAGCACAGGACCCCACTGTCCTAAAGAGACAGGTTATTCTGTGACTAACATAGGAAGAAAATGGCCTTTCTGGCCAACAGCAGAAAAAAGCACATCATGTAGTCAGAGGAAAGCTAGAAACAGTGAGGTTAGCTGATTGATTTGATCACTTCTGGAAAGAAAGAAAAGGGAACCGAAGTCTTTTCTGTTTTCTTGTTTGTTTGTTTGTTTTCTTTTCCCCAGGCTACTTTCCAAAGTCACAGCAGAAGTTCAATCCTTTAGGAGCAACTTTAACAATGGTTTGCCAGCCTCCAAGGTGCGGTTTCCTAGCAACTGGGAAGCTTTTAGAGCTCCAGATAATTGATCAAGTTATGAGTGACTCAAGCAACAGCAAAGTCCTTTTTAGAAAAACAACAAAGCCCCTTTATCTTTACCTGGGTGCTCTTAGAATTGTGCGTGGGGCCCACACAGTCAGATGACATCATGAGCCTCAGAGAGGGACAGACAAGCCGCAAAAGGCAGCAACATTCAGGGACAACAGGCAGGGAGCAGGAACCCAAGGGTTTTCCAGGAGACACCTCAGAGAGGGACTCAGGAGCCATGCAGAGGGGCAGGGGCGTGGGAATCTGGGACTCTAGAGCCATGTCAGTGGCCCAGTCTGACGCCATCACTCCAGCTGTGTCTCTCTGGAGGCTGCAGGCGAGAACCATCTCCTCACCTTTTCCAGCGTGAGAGACGCCCACATTCCTTGGCTCATGGTCCCCTCCTCTATCTTGAAGCCTTCCAATCTCTCACCCTGACCTTCTAGCCTCCCTCCTACAAGGACACTTGAGATTACATTGGGCCCTCCTGGATAGGAAAGTCCAGAATCATCTCCCCGGTATCAAGATCTTTAACTGAATCCCATCCGCAATGTCCCTCTTGCCATACGAGGGAACACGCGAACAGGATTTGGGGATTAGCCACCCGGACATCTTTGGGGGCTGCAATTCTAGTGCCCACAGTCTTCAGGATGGAACTGTCTATTTTGCAACAGCTGCCAGGATGAGAGAATGCATGGTATGTATCCAGCATATAGTGGTTGCTCCATTAATGTTGGTGAAACTGGGCACAGCATCACGGCGCTCACGGTAGATGACTGTAGCACTTTTCTCTACCTGCCATTGTGCTATATTCACTGATTGGTGTGTGGTCCATCTCCCCACAAACATCCCTCCCAGCGGGGCAGGGGCTCTTCTCTGTGCATTGCTGCATCCCCTGTGCCAGGAAGAGTGAAGCACACAGCAGGGGCTCAATATTTTGGGTGAATGAGCGTTCATTTTATTTGTCATGAAGAGGAAGCACCATTTATTGGATAGGGGCCTGGCCGTCAAAGCATGCTTTCCCCGGGCTGCCGGATGAGATGCACTGGGCCACGTGGCTGTTTAATAGCCCCGACACCCCATCCTGCTGATTGGGAGCTGGAGTGGTTACAGGATTCTGTCCTCAGGTGGCAGACTCCAGAGAGACAGGTCCTGCTTCGTGGGAATCTGCAGAAATGTGGGTTTTTGTCACCTCACTTGGGAGTGCGCTTGCATGATGTAGGAGTCAAAAAAAAAGGAAAAGAGCATTTGAATAATCGAACTTTGACTGTTCGAATGCCTGGTCTTTAAGAGCATGTCCAAAGGAGGCAGAGTGGTCTTTCTGATGGCTTCGCCGCCCAAGAATGGACAGTGAAGGCCCTGAAAGAACGCCCCGGGGAGCTGGGCTTCCAGAGGGCTTGGAAACTCTGGCGCCAAACCCTCTCCTGGCACTTGGGATGGCACCACCCAGTTGGATCTTTCCTGACCCATTCTCTCAAATGCTACTACCTCATGGAAACAAAGTGGGACTCTGCCCCCGGTCCCTCCCTGGCTGTCCCACAGCTCCGTGGGGTGAAGGCCCAGCCCAGAGCAGGTGGCCGGGACGGGGTGTTAAATAACTGCTGTTTCTGTAGACGGCAGGTTCTTTCTTGGGTGGGGGGTGCGGGGGGGAAGAGCCTTTCCGTAAAACCCAGGACAAATGTGGAGACTGCAGTGAGCCCAGATAGCACCACTACACTCCAGCCTGGGTGACAAAGGGACCCTATTTCAAACAAACAAACAAAAACAGTGTTGCTAAGAAGTTTTGAAAACCACTGACCTAGCGAAGAACTTTCCATTTTACAGTTCGGGACACCGAGGCCTGGGGACAGGTGTTAAATGGTGCCTGGTGGCATAGGGCTTTGTGGCAGAATGAGAGAAACTCCGGACCATGCCCAATCTGGACTCTGCCCAAAAGACAGCACCACTCCTCCTCCAAGCTGTGCCTCTGCTGGTTGGTTAGAAACTAATCAGGGGGCCGGGCGCGGTGGCTCAAGCCTGTAATCCCAGCACTTTGGGAGGCCGAGGCGGGTGGATCACGAGGTCAGGAGATCGAGACCATCCTGGCTAACATGGTGAAACCCCGTCTCTACTAAAAATACAAAAAAACTAGCCGGGCGTGGTGGCGGGCGCCTGTAGTCCCAGCTACTCGGAGGCCGAGGCGGGAGAATGGCGTGAACCCGGGAGGCGGAGCTTGCAGTGAGCCGAGATCGCGCCACTGCACTCCAGCCTGGGCGACACAGCGAGACTCCGTCTCAAAAAAAAAAAAAAAAAAAAAAGAAACTAATCAGGGGTGCTGAGTGGCAGCGTGGTGGCCCAGGGGAAGGGGACAGGTGGGGCTCCGTCCTTCCTGCTGTGCTATGTGCCATGTGCTACTGTGCTATGGCCTCCACTCTGAACCTCGGTGTCCTCTTCTGTAGATGGGGGATGTTAGAGCATCTTCCTCATCCAGGTGTGGCGAGGAGATGCTGTGTTGTCATGTTTGTCCACTCGGAACGCATCATGCGGCTTCCCTCCTCTGCACAGTCAGTGGGGATCCTGGGGGCAGAGTCACAGGGCGAGGGTCTTCCATGGCCTCACACATCTGCAGGATGGGGAGAGGAAATGGGACTGAACTGCAACCTCATCTCACCGCCTGGGAAAGAAACCCAGGGGCGAGCCCGTGGCTCGGAGAGATGACACCTCCTGCCTCTCGTGTGGTTTCACGCAGCCCCTCCAGGCAGGACAAGCCAGGATGAGAGGACAGTGCGGGGGTGTAGCTGCCACCACCCAGTGCCGTCCGTAGGAAAATGGAGCAACCACATCCTGCACGGCAACACCAGGTGGCCAAGCCAGAGCGTGTGACCACTCGACATTCCCCATCCACAGCAAAGAGGCGAGGCCTGCTGCCCAGCAGAGAGCAGCCCAGCCTACGCGGGACAGGAGCAGGTATAGGCCACGTCCTCAACCTCAGGGAAGACACCAAAGACCCAAGGGGCTGGGACAGACACAGGCCGCCCAAGACGGGTGAGGCTTGCTGAGGGACCTCCAGCTGCTCGGGCACCCCCGAATGACTACGTTCTGCTAATTCCATGGGGTCATCACTGCAGGTGAGGGAACACAGGAGGCGGTTTCACAACATACTCCAGCATGGGCGGCAGCCCCCGCACCGTGAATCACCCTGTAGGCTCCGCTTCATGAGTAACTGGAATTCGAGGATGATTCGGAAAGTGACTATGCACTTTCCGCTCAGTAAGATCTGAGAGGATGGCTGGGCTGACACTCCATGGTCACCTTCAGCACAGGTGTCTCTGCACAGGCAGCCCACGCCCAGGCCACCCCACGGTTACAGCAGATGCCCCAGCTGGAGGTGAAGCCAGGGTCTGGCTTTGGCAGGAAGCTGTCAACTGTGAAACGTCAACCTTGCTCTTTTGTAACTCAGACCGCGCTTGCATTTCATTCGACAGGAGTGCGGGCCCTGCTGATTCTCACGCATGTACAAGAAAGACTTCTTTTCAGTAAAGAAAGGAAGGAAAGCACTGCAGGTTCCACCAGAGGTTTTTATTTCAGCCACTCAGGACCCCGGCTTTCTGCTCCACAGCACTGAACATGGTCAGGCTCTTCTGAGCACTGACAGGACCCCTCCTCCCGCCCCCCACCACAGGGTTCTCTGTTTCCCAAGTCCTGATGGATTCAGGCAAGACCCTCACAAACTCACCCACTACCTGCTGGACAGGAGGGTCATGAGGCAGCCTGTGGTGCTGAGCTCAGTGTGACACACTGCCAGTGCGCCGCCTCTCCCAGCCTCTGCTGGGGCCAGGCCTTGACGACATGATAGGCGCCAGCTGCTGCGCACAGCCCCCAGGAAAGGGGAACGGCTGCTAAGGGTTAGCAGTGACCAAAGAAATAAGAAACGCTATTGTGGAGTTTACACAGATGCTTATTTGGTTCTTTAAACAACAAATCCAACACAAAAGTAAATAAGAGGCAACAGGGCGCCTGAAGGTGGGTGAGAAGAGGGAATCTCATCTGTAAAGTGCTTTTCGAGACACAGGAACCTCCTAGTCTAGCCTGGCACACCCGCGTCACTCAGAAAGGTCGGGCTCGGGGTGGAGATGGCATGCAATTCCCAACACACTGGGCATTCACAGTGGACAGAGCTACACAGCGGCCACCCCCTTGTCGGGGTCCACGCAGTCTACACATGGACGCGCGGTCTCTGCAGCCAAGGTCTGCACACGTGGGCACACATGGCACTGGTGCACGCCTGTCGGGCTGGGGCCACACTGGGGAAGGGCCTCACGGCAGCATGCACTGGAAGCTCCTTGTGGCGGACCATCCTCAGGCCGCCGACAGGAACGGGAAGAAGAAGAAGTCGAAGGCGAACTTCACGGCGCCATGCACGGTGCTGCGCCAGTCGTGCTCGATCTTCACGTGCCGCCTGGCGGGCGAGAGCTGGGCCATGCAGTTGAGGCAGCTGATGGCCTTGAGCTCGAAGACAGGCCACTTGCTGCCCAGGCGGCCCTCCAGGATGGTGCTGAACTCGATGACGCTGCCCTGGCGCAGGCTGAGCAGCACGCTCTTGAACTCGCTGCTGGCCCGCAGCACGATGTCCTTGGTGACGTCGTCCTCCTCGCGGCCGCGCGAGCTGTCGGCGCCGCTGCTGAATGGCATGCCCACGGTGATCTCGAACTTGTAGCGGTCGAACTTCTTGATGTGGCAGGGGTGCTTGGCCAGCAGCTTAAGGCGACAGAGCTCCTCCTCGGCCGTGGAGGTGTTGCCAGGGCTGCAGGCAGGGTAGGCCTCGCCGTAGAGGCAGCGCATCCAGTCGCCGATGAAGAACGGGAGCATGTTGATGGCCGACTCGGCGCTGTTGTCGATGTCGGTCACGCGGACGTACTTGAAGCGGCCGGTCCACGTGACCCTGTGGCCCTCCAGGTGGCTGCAGAGGATCTGGGTGCGTGCCATGTTGGTCTCCTTCCAGGCGCGTGGCCCACACAGCGCCCCGTACTGCTGCCAGGTCAGTGTGGAGTTGTAGACCTTCATGCCCTCTGAGCGGTACACATAGAACCAGCAGAACAGCACGATGGCCGTGAGCCACACCAGGATGAGCTTGACTATGGAGCTCCGCGTCAGGGACTTCACCATCCCCACCACGGAGAAGCTGGCCTTGGTCCACCAGCGCAGCAGCAGCGGCACGCTGCAGACCGCCATGGTGACTGCGATCTTGGTGAGCTCCAGAGACACGAACCACCGGGCGAACTGCAGCACGCCCACCAGGGCCAGGCCGGCCACCAGGATGGGGAGGGCAAAGAGGAAGAGGAAGTAGCCGATGGAGGCACGGAGCAGCCCCAGGCCGGTGGACTCCAGCAGGATGACCACCGAGAGCTCGCACCACATGAAGCACACCAGGTAGGGCACCAGGTAGCAGTAGGTGCCCTTGAAATTCCTCAGCTGCGCCATGCGGAAGAAGAGGTAGAGCAGGTAGACGTAGAGCAGGCAGGGGACGCTGACGTTGAGGACGACCAGGTGGCCGACAGGCACAGTGATGAAGGTCTGGCCAAGGACCTTCAGGTAGGGCCAATTCAGGGGCATGGAGGGCAGCAGCGACAGCAGGCCGGCGGTGACCTCGGTGGCCAGGGCCCTGCGCGTGTAGGGCTCCGCGTGGGTGCTCAGGCTCAGGTAGCTGGTCACAGTAAAGAAGCCGGCGATGACAGCCAGCTCCGAGCAGGGGATGCAGTCCTTGCTGGCGATGGGAAAAGAGAAGATGACGAAGACGACAGAGAGCAGGAAGTGGGCGTAGGGCTCCAGGTGGTTCCAGCCGAAGTTGACCTCGGCCTGCTCCACGTCCAGGTTGGGCTCGAAGCGCAGCAGCAGGTCAGTGAGGGTGCGGAAGTTCTCCCAGGCCTTGCTGTCCTGGAACACCTTGAGGGTGCAGATCACCATGGAGATGAAGGACAGGTAGAAGATGACCAGCGGGATGAAGAAGGCGAAGAAGTCGATGGTGAGGTTGCTGATAATGAAGAAGAAGATGAGGGCGTTGATGTGGTGCGTGGGGATGATGGTGGACATCCAGTGCATGCCCGCCCTGGAGGCCATGTCGATCAGGTACTCCTTGATCTCCATGATGGCGTGCAGGGGATACTTGACCACCTAGGGGAAAGACGGTATGTGGGAACCAGGCTAGGACAGGACCCCCACTGCTCCCATCTCACGCCTCCCTCTGACTACCCTGCCTCTGGGCAAAAGGAACATGCACCCCTGCGTTTTCCCGTTGTCGGCCGCATCCTAGTGGTCCTCCCTCCATCCTTTTCCAGGTGGCCCTCCCCACGCTCGCAGTCCCTGTGGGCCCTCCCTCTTCTGGGCCTGGAGCCCTTCTCTGTCCCGTGCCTGGCTCCCCACCTTCTGCCAGTGTGACTAGACACATGTGTGCTTCTCTCCCTGCAAGACCTCCAGCAGCCACGGGCTCCCCACTTCCCTCCCCTCAGGGTCACCCACATGAACAGATGATGGAGCCCTAAGATGCCTATCTGGGAGCTGGTTTTGTGACCCAGCTCTGCACTGCAGCAAGGACGTCACCTCCCTGAGCCTCCATGAAGGGAAATGGCAATCCTCATGAGGCTGGGCTCCAGGAGGGGAAGCCGCAGGCAGTCCTGGGAGGGGCAGCAGAGCAAGCGTCAGGAAAAGGGAGTTCAATGCAGACACAGGCAGAGGAACCAGCACCACTCTCCCAGCAAAGACACCATTCAACTGCACGGGGCGGCCGGATGAGCTGCCCTCCCTGTGGCAGAAGACACTGAGAAGCAGCTGCCAGGCCACCTGCCGCCCCTACACACACGCATACATTCACACACACACACGCAACCCACCCCTACACACACGCATACATTCACACACACACACGCAACCCACCCCTACACACACACATTCACACACACACACATACACAACCCACCCCTACACACATGCATACATTCACACACACAACCCACCCCTACACACGCACATTCACACACACACAGCCCACCCCTACACACGCACATTCACACACACACACAACCCACCCCTACACACGCACATTCACACACACACAACCCACCCCTACACATGCACATTCACACACACAAACAACCCACCCCTACATACGCACATTCACACATACACAACCCACCCCTACACATGCATTCACACACACATACAACCCACCCCTACACACACGTGCATACACACACAACCCGCCCCTACACATGCATGCACACACACACACAAAACCCACCCCTACACATGCACATTCACACACACATGCAACCCACCCCTACACACACATACATTCACACAACCCACCCCTACACAATTCACACACACACAACCCGCCCCTACAAATGCACATTCACACACGCACATTCACACACACAACCACCCCTGCATACGCACACATTCACACACGCACACATTCACACAACCCACCCCTATACACATGCACACATTCACACACACTCATGCGACCCACCCCTACACACAACATGCATTCACACAGGTGCACACCCACCCCTACACTGTGCACACACATGTACACACCCAGTCCTACACGTGCATCCTCACACGTGCACACCCACCCCTACACACGTGCACATATGCACACCTACCCTACACGTGTGCACCTATACATACACACCAGCGCACGCCCCCATGGTGCTTATAATAGGCACACAATCCCATACAGCCACAGCCAAAGGCTGCCCTCCCCCCACCTGTGGGTCCTGCTTCCCTGCTCTGCACACAGCGCTGAGGTCAGAAGCAGCTCTTGGCCTTCACCACAGCCAAGAGGAGCAGAGGGCTGAGGAAGGCATGCTGGGAGCAGCATCAGGATGGGGTGAAGCAGTGCTGCCACCCAGGGCCGGCCCCCATGCCTGTCTGGTCTGTGCAGAACTCAGAGGCCCTGAGCCCTGCCAGAACACGGGGCAGCCAGGCAGAGGGACTGGAGGGGATGTGGGAGAAAGTGGCCATGGTGCCAGTGCTTATGCAGCATGGTGTGGCATACAAAGCAGGGTCTGGGCATCTTCAGAAGTGCCAGGAGCCTGGACCAACACCAGGAAGTGGACGCCTAGGGGGTGGCCCCACATGGGGGTACGGAAGCCTGGCTGCGTGTCCAGAGTCTACTGAGGGGCTACGTGACACAGCCAGGCTGGAGCACCGACAGACAAGAAGTGGCAGCTGCACCCTATGAGCTCAGGGCCTCGGGGAAGCACCAGCCCCCACAAATCCCCTGGGGCAGGCTTTCTCCACCCGGCCCACCAGAGGGCCAAGGAGGGATCCCAGGTGAATGGCAGCTGGGTGACAACACCAGAATGTGGCCCTCACCTGCCAAGAGCCTTGGCTGTCAGCTCTGGAGGACCAGAACACCTGGAAGCAACCGGAAGACTGAGCCTTCCACAGATGAGAGGGACAGGCTCATGGACGAAACGGAAGTGTTCAGGAGTGTGTGCATGCACGTCTACACGTATGGGGGAACAGCTCTGCTGCTTCGTATATATTTGTGACAGTCCACTTAATCTCTGTTTTATAACAAGCAAATAAATGATTAAAGCAGACAATAGCTCCCCCAGGTCTCTCTGGGGTCAACAACCTTCTCCACGAGCAGAGAGGTGCTCACACTGCCAGGAGATGGCCAGGGGTGACTAGGGAAGACCAGGCACTACAGGGTTTGAGGGCATTTCCAATGCTTGCCAGAGAGCCAGAGGGCATTTATGAAAACCAACCTACTCCAGGGTTTGTCTGGGGCGAGCCCCTGGAGTATGACGCCAGGCCAGCCGGCTAAAATCAACAGCTAGAAATGAGTCAACATGTGCGTCAGCCGGCAGGCTGCTCAGTTAATCCCTGTGTGGGGGCCTTGCTAACAGCAGGACAACTAAAGGTGGCCTGGCCCGCCACTGCTCACCACCACTGTCTCACGCACGACCGCCATGGTAGCAAGGGGGTGGCCTTGGTAAAAATTAATCTGAAATCCCGTCTTACTCAAAGTCATGCACGTTCTTTTGCCTAGAGGAACACATACAGCCACCTGGTTGAGAGGGCCTTTAAAAGACAAGGAAGATTCTAGAACATTATGTCGGATGGCATCTTGCCTCTGCTCAGACAGTGTGGTGGGGCTGGCCATCCACCTGAACTCAATGACCAGGGAACGATTCTCTTTTTAAAGCCCCAATTTCTGCTCCCTGCAGTGTCCACTCAAGACCCTCCTCTGACATGGGATTAAAAAGTTCAGTCTCCTTTTCTGCAGAGAAGGTTCAAACAAATGCAACTCCTGAGATGGAAAAAGAATGAAATTTTAAAAATGAGTGAGGAGTCTGCTTCTATGAATAGAACGCTGCAGAGCTCTCGGTCTGGGCCCGCGGTGATCAGCCCTTCTGCTGCCACGAGAAACCAGGAAGCAGCATCACCACACAGGTGGCCGAGCGGACCCATGAAGAAGGCGGGCTGCGGAAGGGAGCCAAGACGAGATTCTGCTCGAACCTGTGGGCAAAAATGTTCCCGCGTTGGATTTTCCGATTACGTAATGTTAAAAATGTTCGGATTTTCAGATATGATGAAGTTTGTTTTCAGAGGATTTTATCTACGATGACAGCTTGCACCTCCAGGCTCCAGAAGAGAACTGTGTGGAGTCTGGAACATTCTTTGTGGGAGTAAGCCTGGCTCACAAAGAGGCATCTGCCATTTTCACTTTGGGTGAAGACCTCTCTGTTCTGCAAACGGCTACTAAAAGCTGGGACAGCTCTCAGCCTGGGGAGATGCTTGTGACGATTCATTACCTCCCTCACAAGAGACTTCTAAGACGACAAGCTGCAAAGGAATCAAAGTGCTCTGACAGCTTCAAAAACCGAAGCGAATCGGAGCCTTGTTTATTTCTTGTCAGAATAGTTTAAATCTCTCCCTTCTAAAAAGGACTTTCAGGCTGGCTGGACACAGGGTCTCACGCCTGAATCCCAGAAGTTTGGGAGGTCAAAGTGGGAGGTTCACTTGGCCCAGGAGTCTGAGACCAGCGTAGGCGACAATAGTGAGACCCCATCACTACAAAATTGTTTCAAACAATCAGCTGGGTGTGGTGGCCCATGCCTGTCGTCCAGCTGTTTGGGAGGCTGAGGTGGGAGGGTAACTAGAGAATAACCGTGCCACTGCACTTCAGCCTGGGCAACAGAACAAGACCCTGTCATTAAGTAACATAAATAAATAGGACTTTCAGGTGCTACGCAATATTGGACTCACCATCCATAAGTAGGTGACATAATGCATCCAAACAGGATGCATACGTGAGGAGGCATTATTATAATAGTACTTACACCAGATGGCATAAACTAGGACACCTGGGCCATGGCCGCCTGGCCCAAGTTACCCTTTCACCTGTGACCTTCACTGGCATTTCGGGAGTGTCTTTGCCAAAACCATGCCAGAACCCCAGCTTCCTCATCTCCCATTAGTAAGGCGATGATGGCTCCCAATCTCTGAATATGCCCGCCTAGGGCCAGCTCTGAGCAGACCGTCAGTCAAAAACATGTGCTCGCTTGGTTCAAGCTCTTGGCCATCCCGGCCCACGTCTCAGAACTTCGGCAGACCGGTCAGTGTCATACCCTGGACATACAAGTGGGAGGCGCAGAGCCTTCCACCTGCAACCCTAGAGGACTCGCAGCTCTGGGCACTCGGCGGGGCTCACACTCAGACTCATCTGGCTCCGAGTCCCCGGAGCAGGGCTGTTGTGCCTGCTGCTCTCTGGGCTGAAGCCGCTCCTGCAGCACCCCGGTTCCTGCTCTTCCCCCCCAAGGGTGGGCTTACTCTGACCCTCTCCTTGGCTCCAGGATGGTGACCTTTCAGCCTACTGCCCGCCTGACAGCTGGTGGCCCAACATCTCCTGGTCCTGGCCCTGACGCATGCACCCATCTGAGCACAATGATGGCAGTTCCTTCAGGTTCTCAGTCGGTTCAGAAGACAGAACCCCAGGGTGTGTGCATGATGCTGCCCGCAGGCACTGTGACAACCATCTGCTGGGGCCCCTTGTGCTGGCCTCAGTGGGGATCCTGTGTCATGAGGCCAAGCTTCTGGAAATCCTGGTGCTCTCTGCAGAGTGAGACAGGCACACAGCTAATTGAACCATGCGAGCTGAACCGTGGGCAACTCTGTGAGAGGCCATAGGGCCACATGGCCAAGAAAACAAGCTGTCAGGCCCACATTGCTGGGCTTCCCCGCTTTCCTCCTGCCGCCCAAGCTGCTCATGTCCTCCAGGTGTGCCCAATGTCACCCTGCACAAGTGCCACCCACCACGCTCCCACACTGGCCTCACTCCCTGAGCCCTTGCAGGTCCAGGGGCAGTGGGCGCCTCTGCAGGTCCTCCCTGGCCTGACGGACATGGGCACTTTGTTTTGGGGGAAGGCATCTCAAGGCACTGGCCTCCACTCTGGACATACACGGAGAAATTTGCTAAGTGACGAAGTTAGATGACAGTCGGCCTCAGCCCGCCCCACCGCCCCCTACGCTCTGCACAGAAGGACCCGAGGCCCCGTGCTGGCCATCCCAGCACTCCTGCCCAACACCGCCCCTGGTTTCCGAGCCTGACAGCTCAGGAAAGAAAGGCCTCCCTCCCGAGGACACATCCTTATGAGGACAGATGAGGTCCCGAGGTACCAGCGGCGCGGTTCTGGGACACTCTGTGATAGGTGACAACCTCCTCACCTGCAGCTTCCTGGAAGGTGCCCTGCCTAAGGTGTGCGAGTCCTTGGGAGGCAGGCTCCGGCCTCACTGGGGTCTCGGTCACTCACCTTCAGGCGCAGCGGCAGGTCCTCAGGGCTCTTCCCCGCCAGCTCGTCGTCATCTTCGTCGTCCTGCAGGAACAGGCTGCTGGGGATGACGCCCTTGGCGTACTTCTTAGTGATCTCCACAAAGTCATCCAGTGCGATGTAGTTCTTGGCTGAAGCATGAGAGAAAACAGCATGGGGGCCCCACACTGCAGCCCCACTGCCGCCCTATCACAGAGCAATGGGCTGGGGATGGTGGCGTGGGGCCAAGCTAAGAAAGGAGCTGAGTGGGTTCAGGTGGAGGAAACCCTTCCCTGGGTGGCCTGAGAGGTGAGGACCAGGCTGGGTGAGGAGGAAGGGGGCAGGTTTGCCGAGTGCCAGCCTCCACTCCTGGCCCCCGGCCCCTGGGTATGCTGTCCCCACCCCAAGTGTCCCTCTCTGCCTAGCTCCTCATGCCTGGAGGCCACTTACCCACACCTTTCACCCAGTTCACCTACCAAGCCTCACAACCTGCATCTCCAGTGCATGCTGACTCCCTCCTCTACCTCCAGCCAGCGTGTGGCTTCTCACAGCACAGGTGACAAGCCGCCCTGTAGGCCAGCACCCTGCCAACCGCTCCATCCAACACGATCTGCGCCCCCAACCCCTCCGTTCAACATGATCTACCCAGGGCCTACTGTGCACCTGCTAACCGCTCCATCCAACAGGATCTGCCCACACCTACTATGTGCCCGCTAACACCTCCATCCAACATGCGCCCTGCCATGGGCCGACTTACCCCTCCATCCAACATGTTCCACCAAGAGCCTGTTACGTGCCCACTGACCCCTCTACCCAACGTGATCCACCGAGAGCTACGCGCCCACTGACCCCTCCATCTAACATGATTCCTAAGGAGGCAATGAGGCCCCTGAAGGACCCCAGCTACTGTGGGTGAGATGGTGTCCAGGAGGGCCTCCATGGGAAGGATGAGAAAGAAAGGACCATGCTGGGGCAGGGCAGAGGGAGACAAGCCAGGGTGCTGCAGAAACCCTAGGGAGGAGACAGGCTGCATCCAAGATGGCAGCCGTGATAGTGGGCGCCGACAGACCTCCTAATGGATCAGCTATGTGTGCAGGAGGAGAGGAGTCGGGGCAGCACCCAGATGTAGCAGCAGCAAAGAGAGATGAGGCAGCCTTGGGGGGCCCACACAGGTGGCAGGTGGCACAGGCCTCAGCAGCTCACTGTAAACACCTGAGCTGTGAGCTGACCATGGGACAGCCAGGTACAGGAGATGTGGAAGGAGCATGGGCAGGAGGCAACCTGGGCAGACTGGGGGCTTGCGGGTTGAGGACGGCGTCTGACACATAAGAGTGGTCACCAAGGCCACCCACACATTTCCCTACCAGGGCACAGTCCCTGCGGGAAGACCCTGGTCCCCACAAGGAAGGCCCTGTCCTCATACGGATGAATACCTCGGGCAGGACGTCCTGTCCTGAGAGACAGAACATTAGTCTAGGGACCCCAAGAAGGAGTAGCCAGGGTGGCAGCAAGGGCCCCGGGCCTGGCCGGGCAGAGGCTCTAAGGAGAAGAGCAGTCATCTTTGCCCACGCTGCCGACGGATCGAGTCAGACAAGACAAGAAGTGGCCGAGCAAGGAGGTCACTGATGGCCTGGACGAGCCGTTTCGGTGGAATAACGTGGGAGAGGCCTGAGAGCACGGGAGGGGGACGAGAGACGGGGACGACAGACGCCTCTTTCTGGGAGTTCTGTTGGAAAAGCGGGCAGAGAAACAGGAGATGCCTGATGGGAACGTTCTGATGGAGGGGAAACAATGGGGGTGCTGGGGTCCTGTCCCTGAGGGCCTGGCGGAGGGGCCCCCAGGCTGGCAGTGCTGACTCCTAACTCACCCCCAGCAACAGAGACTGGGCCCAGCAGCGGGTGTGCCTGGCTCACCACAAACCCCTGTGGGAGTGGGAAGTGAGGTGGGGTCTAGACTCTGCCTGCAGTGCCACCCAGGATGGAGACCCAGGCTGGGCTGCTCCTGCCCAGAGGTGCCTCCCTTCAGGACAGCAGGCACCACGCCACCTCAGTGGCAGGACACTGTCACAGCCTCTCTGGTCCTTGGGTTTCCGAGTCACAGATTTCTTCCCATTTCCACGTGAGGCGTTTCTTTGTCTCCCCCAAATGGAGCAGGAAACCCGCAGCCCCAGCACCCATGCCCGCCCACGCAGAGGCAAGGGCTGTGACCACACCCTCTGGACAGTTTCTCACTGGCCCAGCGGGAAGGTGGGATCTATGCTCCCACCCATACTCTGCCCTACACGCCACAGAGGCTCCTAGGACAGGCGACGTCCTTCAGTCCCCTTGTCTGATCATCTCGCTGTTCAGAAGGGAAACTGAGACCCAGAAAGAAAAATGAGACCTGCCCATGTCACAAGAAGAGTCTGTGGCAGACCTGGGTCTTGGCCCAGGCCCCCATTGATACTGAGCCCCCAAGCCCCCCGCCTGTCTATCTTCTCCAGGACAGGAGCTCCCGGTGCCTCAGACTGCCGAGTCTACCCCACGTGGATGGAAGACAGTGAGGCTGGCCAGCTGCACCTGGAGGATGTGAAGTCTCTTCTCATTCTTTGACCACAAACATCCCAAAGGCACCCCCAGCTCAGTGTGCCCCAGAGCTCTATCTCCCCGCCTAGGCTCTGCCCGCTGTGTTCCCTGCCTACCTACAAAGGGCCTATGCTGGGGCAGAGCCCCTTCCACACCCTGCTGGGTCTCCTGGGCCTTTGCTCATGCTGTTCCCTCTGCCCCGAGCCCCTCCCCTAACGCCCTCCTCATCCTTCCCCACTCAGGACTCCCCCGTGGGTCCCCACCCCCAGTATTTCCCTGTCCAGGAGGGACTGGCACATCATGGTTTCTGTCCTGTGTCTGCCTTCCCTCCAGTGCGTGCACTCCAGGTGGGCAGTGTCCACTCCCAGCATCCAGAACACTGACCCCCAAATGGACCGCCCGAGATCCTAGCAGGGCCAGGATGGGGTCACACAGGAAGGAGAGGTCACCCTGCAGACACGGGCCGGGAGGCATGGGTGAGACGGGGCAGGCCAGGGAGAGGTCACGCAGGAAGGAGAGGTTGTCCTGCAGGCGTGGGCCGGGAGGCATAGGTGAGACGGGGCAGGGCTGCACTCACACTCGCTGCTGACCAGGCGCTCCAGCATCCGCCTCTGCTTCTGCACGGACTTGGGCACAGGGCCTGGCTGCACCTCTCCATCTGCAGGGGACAGGGTGGATTAAGAATCAGACAGGCTGACCATCCCCTCGTGCCCTGCAGCCCACCAGAAACTGACGCACTGTTCCCAGGGCACACCAATTTCAGGGGGCGTCCTACGTTCTGGGGATCACAGGGCCCCAGGGCAGGCAGTGCAGGGGCCACCACACCTCTGCACCTCCAGCTGCCAGGGTGGACTCCACACCCTGTAGTGTGCTCCCACTTGGTGATGGACACAGTCTGTCCACTGGTAGACGTGCTCACAGAGCACTGGGCAGAATGCCCTCTGGTTTGTTCAGTGAGTGAGCACTGGAGCCAGGGCAGATGCTGTCAAAATGCCACCCACACACCTCCTCACTAGGGCATGGTCTCTACAGGAAGGTTCTGGTCCCCTGGTCCCCACAAGGAAGGCCCCTGTCCTCACAGGGAAGGTCCCGGCTCCTGTGGGAAGACCCAGCCCCTGCGGGAAGGTCCTGGCCCCTGTGGGAAGGCTGGCGCCCAGGGTGAATCCTCGCACCGTGCTCGTTGACCTGGCCGACATTCTCCAGCAGCTCCGCCACGGCCACCTGCTTCTTCTTCTTGGGGTTGAGCTTCCAGTACATGACCAGGGCTGCCTTGCGCACGGCCCTCTCCAGGTCGGTCTCGGAGGAGAGTTGCCTCACTTCCCGTTCATTCTCGGATGTGATGCCTGAGGGACAGGATGTGGTCAAGGCCTTGTGTGCCCTGCCTAGAGCTTTCAGTGCCACTCTGACTCCGCCAACTCTGCCTGGAAGGCTGTCGAGGGAGACTCATACAAGGTGTCAGGACCTGGTTACCAGGGAAGGATGGATGGACACCTGGCCCAGGAGGACATCGCACCATGCCCCTGCCACGTCCACTCTCCAGCTGGGAGGCCAGGCTGGTCTTGCAGCAGACAGCCCCAAGCGCCCCCTATGTGGTGGCAGGAAGGAGGCAGCCTCTTCCTGTTCCTCCTGTTCCCGTCTCACCCTCCCAGAAGGTGCTGCTATCCCCCTCTCAGAGGTGTAGACACCGAGGCACAGGCCTGTGTTCTGGCTCACCCAAGGCCACACATTCAGAAAGAGACAGAGCTGTCTTGAACCCACGGTGGTCTCACTGCAGTCACAAGCCTGGGCGCACTGGCAGGGCCACCCCTGTGTCCACAGAGCTTTCCTCTGTCTCACACACGGCTCAGAGCTTTCCTCTGTCTCACACACAGCTCAGCCCTTTCTAAGGAAGGCTCGGACAGCAGGGAGAGGGAGAGCAGGTTTTACTGCTGCTCCGCGGCTACCCTCCTCCCTTTACCCTCAACAGCCTGGGACGCCCACACAACCCAGTAGAGGGCAGGAGGACTCGCATGGAGATCCTTTTGAACATTTCCCAAATCTTCCACGTGACCACGTATTTCTTTTCGAATCAGAAAGCACAACTGCACATCAGAAGGTGTGTGCAGCTGGGGGAAACACAGGGGGCCAACCAGCCTCCTCCCTTGCACGCTCTGCTCCAGCAGCCTCTGGGGTATCCCTGGCTCCTGCCAATGAGCCGTGTGGGCCGCCTGAGCCCCCTCCAGATGATTCCACCTGCTCTGGAATCAGGAGGCCAGACTGGTGAGAAATTCTGGCTAACAATGCCATTGTTAGTTTTTTCAAAACCATCAGTTTAATTTTCAAAGAAAGACTCTGTATAGTAAATGTAACTCTTAAAATATTATGATACAAGCTGGCTGCAGTGGCTCACGCCTGTAATCCCGTCACTTTGGGAGGCCAAGGCGGGTGGATCACCTGAGGTCAGGAGTGTGTAACCAGCCTGGCCAACATGATGAAACCCTGTCTCTACTAAAAATAAAAAAATTAGCTGGGGTGGTAATCTCAGCTACTCAAAAGGCTGAAGCAGGAGAATTGCTTGAACCAGGGAGGTGGAGGTTACAGCGAGCCAAGATCACGCCACTGCACTCCAGCCTGGGTGACAGAGTGAGACTCCACCTCAAAAAATAAACAAAAAACAGAAGACAATACACCAAAATATGGGAGCTGCTTCTGGGCTTCAAGGTTATGAGTAATTTGTATCTTTATGTGTTCTACATATTCCAAGTTTTCTATGATAAACATAAAATACTTATACAAAGATATCATTACAAAAAACACCTTGTGACACCCACTTTCGTCTTTCCCTGAGACACGGAAACTTCGGGAAGCACACTGCCCCACGGCACCAGGGACAGCCACTTCCCTTGCGCAGGACAACGTCCTAACTGAGCACCCGTGGCCTGAGCTGCATCCCTTTCCTCCCCTGCCTCTCTGTTTGAAAGAGATGATCTTTGAGGGGTCAGCCTGCCTCCTCCCAAAGTGAGCACACCTGCCCAGGTCTGCGTGGGCCCACAGCCCCTCAGCTGGTCCGCCCAGACCGGATGGACGTCAGCTCAGGGGCATGGGCCGCTCTGACTGCAGGTCACATCACAGTGTCCAGCTTTGCCTCAGGGAAACTGCCTCTCAGCTGAACCCAGGATCGATGTCTCCGTTTGGATCAGAACCCAGCAGGGAAGCAGGATGTAGAGTTACCACTTGGAGACACCAACACAAGCCAAACAGAATGAAAATGGCTTGGTCTGTTAAATATCCCATGTTAGGTCCAGAAACAGTGTCTAAAATGACAAGGCCACCAGCAAAACAGAAACTGAAATTTCCCAACAGCATCACCAGCATTAGGTTTGGTAAGATTTTAGTTGTTCAGTTAGCAAGCAGCGTTACAAGCTGCTCAACCCTCCAGAGGCTGTTCTTTTTTTTATTTTTTTTGAGACGGAGTCTCGCTCTGTCGCCCAGGCTGGAGTGCAGTGGCTGGATCTCAGCTCACTGCAAGCTCCGCCCTTCGCTGGTTTACCGCCATTCTTCCCTGCCTTCGCCTCCCAAGTTAGGCTGGACTTTTACAGGTTGCCGCCACCGCGCCTGGGCTAGTTTTTATGTTTTTTTTTTTGAAGTGGAGAACAGGGTTTTCACCAGGTTAGCCCAGGGGATGGTGCTTGGATCTGCCTGGACTCGTGATCCGCCGTCTCAGCTCCCAAAGTGCTGGGATTACCAGGCTCTGAGGCAGCCGCGCCCCGGGCCTCCAGAGGCTGGGTTCTAAGCACTAGGCGACCACCCTTTCTTGTCCGCAAGCACCGGGAAGCAGTTCACAGGCCTTCCCGCCGGCCCTGCTTTGCGGCGAGACAGGGCCAGTCCACAGCAGTGGCAGCTTGTTTGAGTCTTTTCACTCGTGGTCGCCGCAACTGCAGGTAGTGCTTCCCCACCTCAAGGACAGATGCGCAGTTCAGGCCTCCAGCTTTCTCAGACCCTCTCGCCACCGCTTCCAGCCAGCCACCTCTTCTCAACCCACTTCCCCTGTGGGTCACCCGCAGGCCAGGAAGGAAGGGGCGGGGAAATGGGGGTTACAACCCAGGTCATGTCCACGTAGGCTTAGGCCCCTACTTGGAGGCCTCCGGCCACTCGGCTCCTCCTCAAAAACAGGTGAAGGAGGGTGTGGGCCCCACCCCCAATCCCACACAGTGAAGGAGGTCATCACGGGCTTCCGGGGACTCGGTACAGGCTCTCTTCCTTGAGTGCTCCGGGCCTGCCAAGGCATTACCATTAGTGCATGGAAATCAGAACCATGGACTGGGTCCCTTTACAACCTCCTCACAGAACAGTCATGGGGACACAGGAAAGCCGGCGAGGGGCCTGAGAGGAGGCCAGCTAGGCCAGGGGTTGGCACTGGCGCCCCGGGCTGGCTTTTTGCCAATAAATTTTTATTGAAATACAAACCCATAAGCCACTCATTTGCATGTTGTCCATGCGGCCTTTTATCATGCTCCACAGCAAAGCTGGGAGCAACACGAGAAATTGGGGTGCGGGCGGTCCAGAATATATCCATATCTGGCCCTTGCAAAAAAAAAAAAAAAAAAAATCCCTTGCTAAAATGTTCAATTCTTCTTCATTTCTAACAGATGGAAAAAAAAGTGAGGGCCCCAGGGCACAGAGATGCCCATAAAAGGGTCACTACCGCTCACCCCAGCGCTCCAAATTTGGCCTGGGCAATATGGATTGTCGGAGGAACTTTTAAATACAATTATTTGGCTGTGAGGTCAGGAAATAATTTTTTTTTTTTTTTTAAGGATGCATCTCCACTGGTGTTGCCAGGCTTTGGATGTCGCAGTGGTGCGGATCTCGGCTCACTGCAACCTCACCTTCTTGGTTCAGTGATTTTCCTGTTCTCATCCTTTCCTGGAGTTAGGCTGAGTTAACAGGTATGGCACCACCACGTTCTGGGCCTAAATTTTTGTATTTGTAGGTAGAGAGCACGGTTTTCACCATGTTGGCCAGGGGCTGGTCACGAAACTCTGGACCCTTCAGATCACCCGCCTCGGCCTCCCAAAGTTGCTGGATGGATTACAGGCGTGAGCTGCCCACGCTTGGCCCAGAAATTTCTTCGATTTATAGCCCTTTGCACTCGAAGCTTTCCTCTTCCTCTTTAGGGAGAAGGAGGGCGGCGGGAAATGCTCAGGATAAGCTGTGGTCACCGGCTTGAGTCTGTGCCACAGGGAAAGGAGTGGGTGGGAACAGAATACTTGCCTCCACGCGGAGACCAGGACCCCCAGGCTACCCCTGTCCTCAGCCTGCTGCTGGCGGCTTCTCTCCTTTTACCCGTAAATTCAAAATTCAAAATCTCAAAATCATTGTATTCTGTCTTGTCGTACTTGGTTTTTTTGGCGTCTACTTCTTCCACCTAACCTGTCAACCCCATGAAGGACAGGCCACATCACGTGGCCCCCAAGGCGACTGCGCACAAAACCCACCCGTCGGTGCCTTGAATGCTGAGTTAACGGTCACTGCTTCTGAGGGTCCTGCTGCACACAGCTAAAAAGCCCAGGTGAAAGCCAGTCAGGGAGACAAGGAGTGTGCAGCATACACAGTGTGTATGTTGGGGTGGCACAGAGCAGGCAGCTGCAGGAGCCAGGAGGTCATCCTGGAGGGGAGGTGATGCCCAAGATGAGGTGTGAGGCTGGACAAAAGGGGGGAAAAGCGCTGCTCCCCAGAGGGGTGCCAGGAGGGAACACTGGCACAGTGAACATGGGCACCGACCAACACGGGGGCTTCAAGCGGGGTAGGGTGCATCATGCTGGCTCCTGACTCCAGTCTCAGGCACCAACACTTCTCTGTGGGTTGTGGAGCTCGTGGCCAGGCCCGTTGTGCTGGGGGCAGCGTCCTGAAGTCCCCGCCGGCACTGCAGTCCTCACCTCAGTCTGTGCCTTGGGGTCCCCGGCCTTGGCCCTCTCCAGGATTTCTTCAAAGGGGATTTCCACGTCTCCTTTTGTAGGCCCTTTAACACAGAAGAAACAAACACACATGTCACAAAGCCAACTTTGTCGCTTGTCAGAAGGATGGAGGGGACGGCAGGAGGCTCTTCAGATCTGCTGCTGCTCGTCACCTTCAAATCCAGGCCAGGAGTACAGAGAGACACAGACACAGAGAGGGAAGATGCCCAGAAAGTCACTGTTTGCCTTCCGATCACAAGCAGCCCTGAGCGAGGTGAGCAAACTCTACGCGGGTGGGGTGCTTCAACAGCAATTCGAAGCTCTTGGGGTGGGAGGCACGGGAAGCAGGGGAGCACGGAGCCAAGTCCCACCATCATGCCCCTTGGCTGAGGCCTGCTCCAGCTGTGGCTCTAGAAAGATCCAAGGACTCAAGTTTGACAGCCCATGACCTAAGGAATACAAAGAACCTGCATCCAAAGCCCAGCACCCCAACAGATCAAGTTCATGTTTTCCATGATCGTACCAACATAAAACATATTTTTTTGGAGATTATAATCAGTGTATATACATCTTGATATTACCTTTTCCTTCTTAAGAGTGAACGCCTTAGCCTGTTGGAGCTGTTATAACAAAAATATTAATACCATAGACCAACCCTGGTGGCTTACAAACATCAGAAACGTATTCCTTTCAATTCTGGAGACTGGGAAGTCCAAGATCACAGTGTTGAGACTCCGTGTCTACCGAGGGCCTGTGTTTTGGTTCCGGCCTTCTGGCTGCGTCCTCACAGGGTGGAAGGGGCAAGGGAGCTCTCTGAGGTTTCTTTTATGGCGGCACTAATTCCACCGTAAAGCCATTGCTCACGATTCATCACCCCCTAACACCATCAGACTGGGGGTGAGGATCTCAGCACATGAATCTGGGAGAGACACAAACTTTCAGTCCACAGCAGTGGATTGTCCTCTGGTTTCCCACGATGCGCTGCAGTCAGTTCACCGTTTGGGTGGCTCCTAGATCAAGGAGACAGAGTCAGGTTACTGGGCCTCTCCGCTCCTCTCCATCAGGTCCGTAGGTTGCTTCCGATAACCTCTTGTTTTCTACAGTGGTGCCATGAACCGTTTCTTTTCTTTTGGGAAGTCATTTTCCTAGCACAGGTTCTCCAGTTGAATTATTAGACCAAGGGTCCAAACATCAACTACAGTTCGTGCTGTATGTTACTTCCTAAGAAGTTATCTGAATGTACAAAAGCATCACGCAGTCTTACCCATTTCACCCAAGTGTGCTGACAGTGGGACAGGCTGCATGGTTCCCAGTAACACCACACCTAGGACCAGCCTTTCTGGTCCAATTCTCCCAGGGCCTTCCCAGAACCATCCCATGCCAGGCTCTGAACCGGCTCTGCAGCACCACATGCTGCCTGGCCACTGCCTTCAGAGGACCCAGTGTACAGGAGACAGGACTCCAGGGGGAGACAGCATGGGACGTGGCCAGGTGCCAAGGCAGAGAGGAGGGGTCACACCCAGTTTGCAGAGGGCAGAGGGGGGCTGGCACAACTCAAAGTTGTAGGCGGCAGGTGAGGCCCTCACAGGTGAAGTTGTGTGGGTGAGACACACATTTGCAGAAGGGAAGAATTAGATGGATTCTTTACAAGCTCTTGTGGTCAGGCAGATGCACTCCAGCCCTCTGGATGGGCAACTTGCCGACACAAAGGCCCCTATCCCTGGATGCCCCTGTCCCTGGATACCCCTCTCCCTCGATGCCGCTTTCCCTGGACACCACCCTCCCTGGTCGCCCCCCTCCCTGGATGTACCCCTCCTTAGAGGCTCCTCTCCCTGGATGCCCCTCTCCCTCAATGCCCCCTCCCTGGATGCCCCCGTCCCCGGAAGCCCCTCTCCCTGTCACCCCCCTCCCTGGAGGCCCCCCTCCCTGGACGACCCCTCCTTGAATGTCCCTCTCCCTGGACGCCCCTCTTCCTGGACGTAACTCTCCCTGGACGCAACTCTTGCACAGAGTTTCGGGCTCAGCTTCCTTGCCGGGGTCCTCAAGGACGTTGCTCAGAGATGGCATCAGGTCCCGCAGGGCAGCCCTTTTGGACACCACCCTCCCCAGAGTCCCGAGACCTTGATGCTCCCTGAATCCAACAAGGGTAATTCTCCCTCCTTGCTGCCGTTGCCCCGCGAGCTCCCCCGGCGTGCTTTCTGGTTGCAGGCTCAGCAGCAGGCTCACGATTCCTAGAGGAACTGCAGACACAGAGCCTGCAGGCATCAAGGCCGTGGGCCCACACAGCAGTGTGAGCGATCACAATGACACAGACCCACGTGTGGATCCACACTCAACAGTAAGGTGCTGTGTGACCTGGTGCAGGTCACATCACTGCTCCGAAGCAGCTTCCATCTGATCGTTAACATCAATCTGACAGGATGGTTTATGATGAAAAGGGATGCTTTGCAGTGAGTGGTCCAGAGTTGCTGTTCACAAGAGGAGGCTTTCTCTTCCCTCCCCACTTCCCTAGGACACCCCAGGGCCGTTGCTGTGCTTCCCACCACAATGCCAGCACCTCTCGCGAATTCACATCTCTTTACTTGACGAAGTTCACAAGCCATATTATTCTTCCCTTTTAAAAAAAAATCAAAACATGGAAGGTCCAAGCCTGTGTGGTGGTCTAAAAAGATTCTTCCAGTCCGTAATTAATTTTTCACAGAAGTTATTCATAGCCTGACATTTCTTTTTTTCTTTTTACTTTTTTTTTTTGTGTGTGTGATACAGTCTCGCTGTGTCACCCAGGCTGGAGTGCAGTGGTGCAATCTCGGCTCACTGCAAGCTCTGCCTCCCGGGTTCACGCCATTCTCCTGCCTCAGCCTCCCGAGTA